GGCCTGTACGGTAACCTTTACGGGTATGAAGCCAATTTAATTTTGGTGAGCGGTTTTAATACATTTGTATCAATGTTGTTTTATTTAAAACCTTCATTTACTTGTCTTTGTAGGTGGGGAAATTCACCTGCAAGCCTAGAGCGTATACGGTGGGCTGGTACCTCCGTAGGTCACTGGATGTCGACAGAGGACTTTTATCCCCTTACTACATATTTCAATGCTGTTGTGTACTACTTCAGAACCAACGATGCTATAAATCTAAACGGCACCTGTTGGACTGTGCTACCACTGATCGCACGGGGCGGGGCAACAAGACCAGAGTTCCAGATAGTTATTTGCCACCTTGAGCCTTACCAGCACTTTATTCGACTCAATCTGCAGGGTGATTTTCCGATTTCCCTCATTCACCCCATTTGGCTGCATGATCGTGATAGTAGTGTTATTGGTTGGGAAGAACCTTTTGAACCTAGACTGCAGCTATAGCGTACTTTGGTATCTCCGATAAGACCCACACGGGAATTTTGTGATCTTGGGTGATATGTTGTGTATATATATATTTTTTTATGCAATTGGTGAAATTTTATGATCTCTTTACCTAAATGTTCACATAAATTAAAATTTAAATTGAAAATCAACATAAGTACATACTGTTCACAAAAACAGAATCGTTACATAATTGTTTAAAGAAAAAAGTACTGAGTAGAATGTCATGGGGCCTGACTGTGCCGGAAGATGACATTATTCAGGCGAGTATCCCACTCCTCACCAAGACACAGATCGATTTTCTTCAAATCGTCGATGCAACCTCGAGTCAACCTCTCCATCTCACGCATCCACTACAAATGTTAAATAAAACCATATTAAACCCTTAAAAATAGTACGTGTGTTATTAAAAAAAGCGTATTCCAGTTAGAGTTGAACTTACGTAAGTGGTGCAGTTCTTCCCTGGGATGCGTGATGTAGACGGTACGGACTCCGGCAGGAGAAATGGATGTGAATAGCTCCTGTACCAGTCGAGGTAATCTACAGCTGCCTGTCCTACCTCAGTAGACGATAACGGCACACAATAACTGAGGCTGATGCACTTCGACTCCGGAAATCTAACCCAACAGTTACAAGTCTCGGCAATCGGACGATCAACAAAATACTTGTGCGCATTTTTCCCGCGAAACTGAGTGACCGGCGTGAGCGGGCGCACGAGGTATGTACTGCACGTAACCGAGTTGGCGTAGCACTCTCTCCGGCATGTATGGCTCCTGGAAGTCGTGGACATAATCCACCCACTGAAGATGGTCCTCGGATATGCTGTCGCCTGTTTGCGACCAAATGGCTCCCATTCGACCTGCGAACGTTACCAACATTTATTATAGTGTATACAATGAAATACCTCTTACGCAATACACAGAAATAAAATATAAAGACAACCTCTTGCTCAGTCATCGCATCGAGCTGCGTACGAATCTACTAGAGACGACTATGAATAGGCTTCGGGCCCTTATAGCTAACTGGTGTCCAGTCTCGGGCTCTGGGCCAACCATCAACACCTCGACGTCCCTGCCTATTGGAGGGCTGGAAGCATGGAAAATACTCATATATCAATGCCTGGAGAAGGGTCATACAGCCAGCCATCGTGGTACACCCTGCTCGACTAGCAATCCCAAGCTGAAGGTAGAAGAATGCTAGTGTACCGGATCCCCAGTAGTACTCTGTAATATTGTCGATACCTCCGTGTAGCTCATTCATAAGCGAAGCACTGATCCTGCCCCCACTCCTGTCAAGGAAGAGTGTTGAGGCTATCAAGATCCACACCCAAGCTTGCACCTGAACAACAGGGAGGACCCTGCGACAACACTCCTCAATCAATATGTCTCTCACACCTCCGTGGCTCCATGCACGCTTTAACTCCGCCACCGGCATCCCAAGCAATCCCGCGACCTGCATCTTCAAAATTTCAGCTTCCGCAGGTTGGGTCAACAAGTAACCATCAAGTGGAATCGCCAAAATGTGTGCCACATCATGCATCATAATAGTCATCTCCCCAAATGGCAAGTGGAAAGAGTTTGTGTCGGGCTGCCACCTCTCTATGAATGCATAATAAGCGCAAGGTCAATGTCATCATACATGGTATCAATCAGATGATACAAACCGATATTCTGAATCTGCAACTATGCGTTCTCCGGCAATCTCGCATACCATCCATGCAATCTAGACAAACTCTTCTTCGCTGGCTTCATCGTCAGGTAATCTCTTGGTTCTCCATTCCACAACTGATAAGCAGTGTGCCCAAAAAAACTAGGAATCACTGACCCATCACATGGCCCGCCAGGTACGTCGTCCGTCACAACCCAATCATCAGTTTCTTCGGTAGAAACCTTAGACCGTCTGCTAGTACCTGAAACCCGAATAAAGAATAGTGTATATATACTTAATCGAATGCAATTAAGAAATTGACCAAGCAGTAATGAATGCTGAAATTGTTACAAATACGTACCTGATGACGATGCAGCTGCCTCAGGACGGATAGAGGCACCAATGGATGCGCCACTAAAACGGGAACGAGGCTGACTAGTCAGAGGGGGACCTCTAAAAACAGTACTCTGCGGGCCTGCATGCTGAAGAGTAGTACTGTGACCTCTAAAAAGAGTACTCTGTGGGCCGATACGAACACTGTAACCACCAGGAGCGTAAGCTGAATTCAGGGCCGATAATCCAACAAGGGACTTCTCCCCCGGGTAGGGTGAACTGGAGTCTGATCATCAGTACGACCAATGGGATTCAGTACTGAGTTATCTCCAATATGTATATCCCTCCTCTCAGGCGAGGAATACTCGGATGTGTCATCCTCCTCATCCACATCGCCCCCCTCACTCTCAAAACTATTCTCTGCTGATTCCTCTCCCTCAAAATCATCATCATCGTCTACGTTGGCTGACTCACCAAGTGGGCCAAACGTAGGATGTAAATTTTTCACTTTCTTTAACTTTTTTTCTTTTTCTGCTCGATGTTCGGCATACAAATTGCGCGTAACTGCATGCCGATGTCCAGATCCCTCAAGAGGCGATATCCCATCTTACAAAAGTTTTAAATTTTACACGTAACTTAGATTAATTAGTTTAATACAGTTTTATATTATTTAAATACCTAATTATAAAATTATCTACTATACATCTTAAGTGTACAATTTATTAAATCTACTAAGTCCAATTAATAATATCTACATATTTTGTTTTTCATTTTTTAACCAAAATTAAATAAATATATAATTTATTATTTAATTTTAACCACAATTAAATAAATATTTTTTATTAACTCTAATTATCTACTAACCTCTTGTATTTTTTTTTAATTTGAACTTATTTATTTAATTTTCCTATACTAAGTATTTAATTTCTACGTTTGATATTTTTTTGAGGCTAATTACAATTAAACAGACTAATCCAATAAATATATTTTCTATAATTAAATTAATTATAATAACTTTCATAATAATCTAAATTAATTTAAAAACCATTAAGCTCCCTAAAACTACAATTGAATTCCTAAAACTACAGAAGTATTATAACTAATTTATTTACTGAAAATTAAACATATAATTTTAATAATAGTGTTTCCTAAAGAAATTAAACTAATAAAAATAAATTCCTACCATTAAACTATAAAATTATAAATTTAACTAATAATAAATAATTAAACTAAATTTCATAAGATCTACAATTACTAATAGTAACAATTAAATTACAATTACTATACAATTTATAAATAACAATTAAATTTAAATATATAATATAAAAAATTGAAATAATACAAAAAAAAACTACCGGCGCCGCCTGGCGAGACTTTTCTCGCCACACCACCTTTCGGCGCCGAAGAAACGGGGGCCACCACAGCCCCGGCCGGCAAGGGAGATCCGCGCCGGCGGGGGCTGTGGTGGTTTCTTTTTTTTCTTTTTTTTTTTTTAATACTCTTACATAATTCTAATTCAAAAAACCAATCCAAATTTACGTACCTTCAGTTTCCGTAGCTCTTTACGTAGCCGTTTCATTCAATCAGCCATTGAATCTAAGTTTTTAGGAGTTTGGATTGAGAGAATTTGAAATGAAAGATTGATTTAGTAATTGAAAGGATGAAATTGAAAATCTTAATTTATAAAATCATATAGGAGGTCTCCCAATAATATAACCTACACTCAGTAGCCATTTTTTAGGGTTTTTACACAAGATACTTAGGCTCTGTTTGTTTCCTTTTTTTGTTGGTTTTTTCAGAATTTAATATTAATAACTGTCCCATCTTAACATATATTTTTACATTTTCAATACATCTTTTTATACTCCCAATACAAAAAATATCTAAAAACACACACTAAAAAAGAAACAAACAGACTCTAATTTTTTTCTTAAAAAAAAAAGTCAAGAAAATGTAGTATAATTATGAATGGGAAACAAGGAGGATAAAAAAAAAAAAAACCCTCCTTGATTTGTTTGGCAAAACCTTTTCAATATATACACATATATATTTTTTTGTTAATGAAATATAACAAAATAAAAAAAGTGTATAAAAAATATTACAAACATAAAAAGTACTCCTACTAGTATTAGATTATAATTAACAAAATTTGTGGACAGTAAAACTTGATGAATGAATTGACAGGGGAACAGAAGAGAGACTAGACTACTACTACTACAACTACAAGTCTACGAAGAGTCGTTTGCAATTCCAAGGTCATTTCCACTCCGCTCTTCTTTCTACACACAGTCACGTAGTAGTAGTAAAGGCCAGTTACAGACAGTTAAGTACTAGTAAAATCATTCCTCATGATGATAGTATCTTCCAACTCCCCGGCCCACTTCTCTCCTTTAACTTCTCTTAAACGTCTCTGTCTCCCATGATTCTTTCCCATACCATCTCTTTTTCTTGACTCATCATCCCTTTTTTCTGCTTTCTTTTTTGCCCCCTTTGTTTATAGGAATTCCACACATCCTGAGTAGACGCTGGTGGTTAACATGTCCGGGAGAGTAGGAGGACGCGGTGGCGATGGCGGACGTGGACGAGGACGAGGACGTGGACGCGGCGGCGGCGGCGGCGGCAATGCTCGGGGTTCTGGCCGTGGAGCGCCAGTTCCTCCACCACCGCATGTTGCTTCTTCGTCTTCTTCTTCGGCGCCTGAGTCGTCTATTACCCGAGATTTGGAGAAAAAGCTGTCCGTTGATGATTCTCCTTCTGCTGCTGCATATGGAAGCGGTACCAAGCTTCACGGTGGCGACGGCGGTGAACCCCAACAACCAACGACGACGACGTCTCCGGCGGTTCAGGTTCCACCGTCTTCGTCCAAGGCTATTACGGTTCCCAAGAGACCTGGATACGGGACCCTAGGCCGGAAATGTGTGGTTAGGGCTAACCATTTTATGGTTAAGCTTCTTCACAACGATCTTATCCTTCACCATTACGATGTACGTTTTCTTTTTTTTTTTGGGTTTTTAAAAGCGAAAATTCAAATTGAACAATAATTTTCGGAACAAGAGGGATAATAGTTTTTGAAAACTTGTTTGGTGACCATTATTATTGCTTTCCTTTTTTCTCTCAACTTCGGTTGTCATCGTCTCATTACTTGGTTTACTATATTTTGTTCCGTCGAGTTACATTACTTGTGCATGGTTTGGAGGGCAGATTGTCAAGTATAATGATGTGTTCTTATTATTTTATTTATTTTTTTGCAACGTTTAATCTGAATGCAAGGTTTGTTAATCAATCTGTTACTCTAATATGCATAGTTCTTATCTCCATCTGCTAATTCTTTTTCTCTGTTGTTTCTGAATAAAAACAGGTGTCAATGTCGCCAGAAGTTAGGTCCAAGAAAGTCAGCAGGGATATCTTGAAACAGCTCCAACAGAATTATAGGGTCTCACATCTGGGAAACCGAATGCTAGCTTATGATGGCAAGAAAAGCTTTTATACTGCAGGGGAACTGCCTTTCAAATCCAAGGAGTTCATTATCAAGCTTTCGGAGCCTGGAGAAAGGTAAGTGTATGTCATCTTTGGACATTTTGGTACGTCGATTTTGCGTTTTCTTTGAAATGGCTCATCCGCAGTGAAAGTTGGTATTGTTTTGTTGTAAAATTTGTTGGAAAAGTTTGAATGTATATTTTCTGAATGAGACAGTGGTTGTTCCTTCTGGATTTTACTCTCCTATCTTCACAAGCTGGCTAACAGTTTGCTTCTGGAATTTTATAATTGCAGGGAGCGGGAATTTAAGGTCTCCATTCAGTACGCTGCGAAGGTGGATCTTTATCACCTTCAGAGATTTCTTAGTAGTAAGCAACTTGATGTACCTCAGGAAACTATCCAGGCGCTTGATGTGGTTCTCAGGGAAAAGCCTTCTACCGAGTAATGTCTCAACTTGTTGTTTTAAATTATTATTAGTTATTTTTTTTTTCCCCTCTGTCCTGGATGATCATGTTTATATATTTAGATGTGTTGTTTGCATCAATCTAAGATGGTGGGGGTTTGAATATCTATGAATTTGTGCTTGCAGTTATGTAGTAGTTGGCAGGTCATTCTTCCACCCGTCTCTGGGTGCTAGAGGTCCCCTAGGAGATGGCGTGGAGTACTGGAAGGGTTTTTATCAGAGCATCCGTCCAACTCAGATGGGTCTTTCCCTGAATATTGGTATAAGCTTTTCTTGGGAGAAAAGATTGGTTTAATAAATTGGGATGATGTTTCTGTACATTAATTATTGGTCTCCGTTTCCTTTTTGGTTCATTCTGTGGTTTTTTGTGGCAGATGTGTCAGGGACAGGATTTTATGAGCCTTTGTTAGTGACTGAATTTGTTTCCAGTTTCCTGAGGAATGACTTAACTCGTCCCCTATCTGATCAGGACCGGATAAAGGTACTTTAGCCATCTGAATTTGCTCTTCTCATTGTTTTTAACTCAATTACGAAGCTACAGTCATATGTTGGCTGAGCTTCCAGTTGGATAGCTCTTCTTAGATGTGCGAGTTATTACTTTTTTGTTTTCCCCGACTGCGGTTTTAAAGCCACCCTCCTGGTTTTTCTTTGTAGGTGAGAAAGGTCCTCAAAAATGTTAGGGTGCAAGTTATCCATTCAAATGTTCCGAGAAAGTACAAAATTTCCGGCATTACCACTGAATCCTTGAGCAGATTATCGTAAGCTACTACTCCCTACTTGTTTGGTTATTCTACAAGATCCTGAAGTTTCTTTCGAATGCACCTTTGCTATATTGATAATGGCTTTGATAGGCGCAAAACCATTGTAAATTACTATATCTGCTATTCTGTCATTGATTAACACCTCAACTCATACTACAAGTATGTCAAATTTCCAATGCACTTGCAAAATCATCTAATCATGCAGGTTTCAACACGATGAAGTCAATACAACGATAGTTGATTACTTTCGCCAAAAGTATAACTATGTACTTCGACATACAGCGTTGCCTGCACTGAAGTGTGGCAGTGATGAAAAGCCAACTTATTTACCCATGGAGGTATTTTGCTTGCTCACTCTTGTCCTTTTTACCCCTGTGATTTCATTCTTTTGCTTTTAGCTAACAACTCTTCTGGTGTAAAATGACAGGTTTGCAAAATTGTTGCGGGGCAGAAATATTTGAAAAAGTTAAATGAAAAGCAAGTTGTTTCCCTGTTAAATGCTTCATGTCAAAGACCAGATGTGAGAGAGGATGAAATTAGAAAGGTTTGTCCATGGTTTTTATGACTTTATACAGTGACTGCCGTTTTAAATGGTTTTCTACTAATCTTTATCCATTTGATTAGACTGTTGGCAAACAGAATTACAGTGGTGATACACTTTTGAAGGAATTTGGGGTTCAAATTAGCACTGCACTTACATCCATTGAGGCACGGGTTCTTCCTCCGCCCATGGTAAATATTTAATTTAATTGTGGTTGGATGTTTCTTGTCATTCCTTTGCAATCAATTAAGTTAATTGCCTTCGAATGATACTATCTTTGATCTGGCTCACTGACCCATCTTTGGATGTCCAGATAAAATATCATGAGACGGGGGAGGAATCACTAGTTCAACCAAAAGTTGGTCAGTGGAATATGATTAATAAGGTAAGCTTTTATAGCAGTTACCTGTTACTTCCTTTCATATACTATATATAACATTGATGGAATCATTTTGTACTGTTTTGGTAAAGCGTCTACAATCTGCCAACTTATTCTTGATGAACGGTTTGGCCTGGAAACTTGCTTTTATTTTCATGGACAATAAATTATGTGTGCTTATTGGATTTTCTTGTGGATGCGATTAGGTAGAGCCCTTTTATTGTTTCACACAGTCTATGATCTTTATGTAACTGTCTTACAAATTGAATAATCTTACTGTATCAGAAAATGGTTAGCGGTGGGAGGATAGACCATTGGGCTTGTGTCAGCTTCTCGAGAAATGTCGACGCAAACAGGTTTTTCAGAGAATTAATTGCTATGTGCTCCAGCAAGGGAATGGTATACTCTTATCTTCCATATGATAGGAATTTGTTAGGGTGCTCTGTTTACTTGAAGCCTGATCGTACAATTTGTGTTGCATCATTAGGTATTCCAATCCCAGCCACTGATTCCAGCTCAAACAGTTACCAATGGTCAAATTGAGAAGGCTTTGATTGATATTCACGACAAGTGTATTGCAAAACTCAGAAACTCGAATACAGGATCGAAACAACTCCAATTGTTGCTTATAGTTCTGCCAGATCACAAAGGATCTTATGGTAAAGTTACAAGTTCTCTGAAGTTCATTTGGTATTGTGTTATTGTCTTCAATGGGCCATTTGCTGCGTGTTTGCAGAAACTATCAAGCGAATTTGCGAGACTGAGTTGGGGATTGTCTCGCAATGTTGCCGCCCAGAGAGAGCAGGAAGATTTAATGCGCAGTTGTTGGAGAATTTAGCCCTTAAGATCAATGTGAAGGTTTGTATATCCATTACTGATTTGATTGTTTTTGTTACTTGCTGATGAAACGAAGGATCCTTCATTCTTTGGCTTAGTTCTGTCTTGTCAACTTCTTTTTTGGACTAGGCTGGTGGGAGAAATGCTGTTTTAGAACAAGCTGTTCGACGCAGGATACCATTTCTGACTGACCGTGTGACCATAATTTTTGGTGCTGATGTAACGCATCCTCAACCTGGGGAGGATTCTGGCCCTTCAGTTGCAGCTGTACTTCTTTCTCACTCTTGTCTTAGATTATTTTTGTTTTTATTACTTCTCCTTTCCTTTGATTGGAAATATTAACCTGAAGGTTGTCGCTTCCATGGATTGGCCGGAGGCCACCAAGTACAGGGCACAAGTATCTGCACAGCGCCATAGGCAGGAAATAATCCAGGATCTGTGCAAAGTAGATCAGAATGGGAAAGTCGGAGGGATCATAAGGTGGGTGAGTCAATAATTTATTTGAGATAAAGTGGCATGAAATTGATCGTAATACTCGCTTCTTGACTTTAACATTATCCATCATACTTTCAGGGAGCAGTTAATTGCTTTCAGAAGATCGACTGGGCTGAAGCCTGAGAGAATTATTTTTTACAGGTTTTTTAGCTGCTTCATATGTATCATGTATTTTGAATTGAGTATTTTATTGACATTAGCTGTGTTTGTAGAGATGGAGTTAGTGAAGGCCAGTTTAATGAGGTGTTGCTTCATGAGATTGATGCAATCAGGAAGGTAATACACAGTTTTAGATATTACTTGGCATCATAATAAATTCCCTATTTTTTCATAATCCAACTCCTGATATTTTGATGTCATTTTTAAACAATTGTCTCCAGGCTTGTTTATCACTGGAAGCAGGTTATATGCCTCGTGTGACTTTTATTGTGGTGCAGAAGAGGCACCATACTCGTCTCTTCCCCATGAATCATAAGGATCGCTATGCGACTGACAAGAGTGGCAACATTTTACCAGGTTTTAGAATTAATTATGCATGTGTAATCTAGTTCCCCTTGTTCTGTTGTTTGTACACACAATAATGTTTTATCTTCTTTCTCAATCAGGAACTGTTGTTGATACTCAGATTTGTCATCCAACTGAATATGATTTCTACCTTTGTAGTCACGCCGGAATTAAGGTATTAAGTGTTTCCTATTGATCATGGTCTTTTCAGTTTTTAATTTATGTTCCATTGATGCGATTCGATGAATTTTTATTAGGGTACTAGTCGCCCTGCGCATTATCATGTGCTGTATGATGAGAACGGGATTGGCGCAGATGCTTTGCAGATGTTAACTAACAGTTTGTGCTACACGTAAATTTCATTTCACCATGCTTTATTATTGATATTGTATGTTTCCTACCGCACTTTTAAAATTTTTTTATTTGTGTTAATTCCCTCTTATGGTAGGTATGCGAGGTGCACTAGAGCTGTTTCTATAGGTCAGTTAACCATTTGTCTCGGCATATGGTGTGCCTTCAGGCAAGATGCTCTCTGTCCCAAAATGATAGTCTACATTGAGTTTTGACATTTATTCTATATTTAGCACAAATCTCAAAAGTCGATGTGGACTATTTTTTTGGAACAGAGGTAGTAATGTTCTTTCCCAGTCGCCTCTGAATACTAATAAAATATTCTTCAATTAATCTCACAGTTCCACCGGTGTATTATGCTCACTTAGCTGCATTTCGAGCTCGCTACTACCACGAAAGTGAATATTCTGACAGTGGTTCTCGTGGTGGTGGTGGTGGGAATATGCCAATGAGGGAGCCAACGGGAGAAGTAAAATCACTGCCTAGCATCAAAGAAAATGTCAAGGATGTCATGTTCTTCTGTTGAAGAAAACTCCACTATTGGAAATGTAAATGATGCTGCTACTTTCTGCTGATGAAGAAAGTTGACTTTTGTGACAAAAATTAGACTTGTAGTAACTAACTAGTAACTAGTCTAGTCGTATCTGTTCCTTGCTAGTTTAGCAGGGCTCTTCTAGTTTTTGCTTTCGGAACATCTGCTATCTTGGTCTTCTGGAACCTAATTTTGCTTATCGAAAACGAATGAACAAAGTTCTGGTTAGATTTTGATTCTGTGTATGAACCATATACAGACTTCGTTTGGCATCACTGAGATCAGAACATTTTTTTGTGGTTATCCGAGTCTGGGTTATGGAGCATTACAAGTATTTATGATTAGACAGATTATCTGTGCAGCTCTTCCTTAGAAATCAGATAGAACCATCCTTTCTTCAAATCATTTCCGGTTTTTGTTTTCCCCTTTTAGAGAGGAAAAGCTTGATCTGGTTCTAAATACGTACACCCATGGATGGCAAAATCTTGTTGATAGGTGTCTAATCACTGAAGTACAAAAAGGGGTAATAACAAGAAATGAAGTCAAATGGTACTTCTACAGAAGAGATCAAGTAAAACAGTGGTCCTGTAGCTACAAGAATTCCACCATCACAGCAACAACCTATAAATAAATAAAAGATTACCCGCCAATTTCTATATAAATTAATATATGAGGTACAAACTATACAAAGGAATCAAGAGTATGAAGTCCAAAACTTCCCTTTCTGATGTTATAAATATGAGAATCTGCTAAACAGATATATGCACAAGAAGGAAAGCAATGTGGTATAGGGTATCAGACTGTGTGGGTCAACCCTGGGAGGACTATTATTATCAATCTGTCCCGCATTCACAAACTCGCTTTTACCGTTACCTGTGGCCGTCGAGACGTTAATCGATGATGCACCTGATGAGAAGAGGTTAATCGTTTTAGAAATAAACACCAAATGAACAAATAAGTCATTAGATGTTAAAATCGAACTTGATTTGAGACTCTTTAACTAGGAGTAGCTATGAAGGAACTTACAGTCATAGTTAACCCATCCAATCCGTTGGCCAGCCAAATCGTACACGATAATTTTGTCTTTGAGGACAAGGTCTGAATATAGAAAGAAAATGACAAGAGGATGATCTCAAATTCACATGTAGTTCAAAAAGACAACACAAGGGAAAGAACTTCACATGCTGTAAGTATTTGAGTAAAGGAGGATTATTTAAAGGCCACCCTAGATAAGTATTTGAGTAAGACTGTGATATTGGTGTAGCAATATCAACCGAGTAACATCGGAGAGGTCAAAAGCGATCAAGACATACGACTAACAATGAAAAGAGCAAAAGACTTAGGAAGTCACGGACTCCCAGCCGGCAGACTACAAGTTGCACAAACATAATTTCCAAAATGAATTCATTTGATAAATTGCTAGTCACTGCTCTCCAAGGATGTACTTACGTGGATACCACACAGAATAAATTCTAAAATACAAGTATAAGAACTCACAAGAGTGCGTAAGATGTTCGTACATTTAAAAAAGTATGCATCTTTACCAAAAACCCATCAGACCATGTGTTTTAATTGTTAACCCCAAAGAAATCAAATTAAAAATGAACTGTCTCATACCTCCTAAAATTGTCAGGCCCTGACCCTGAATTTTTTGGAAACCAATACACCAAACTGCTGCACCATTCTGCAAAATCATTATACAATTGGGTCAAAACATCACTCAACATTACTTATGTGGCAAATAGACACTTGAAAAGAATTATGCAGAAAGAAACATGCATAAAAAAACGCCTCAATAATAAATCTGTAGCAGAGACCATTGAACAAGATTACTTTTAAAAATAGAACCCAATTTGATGCTCCACTACATTTTAAGAGTGCAGGAATTCGAAGGTTATAAATGTAGTGGGGGTAGATAATTCAGTAGATCATGGTAGTGGAAGGATTATCAATTTGGTGATCCAAATAATAAGCTTTGGATATGACCAACAATATTTCAGCAGAATTATCACAAAGGGCTAATTGGTCGCACATACAGGTGTATCCTTGCATTCAGATTATTACAAATTTCACGAACAAACAAAGGGGTGTAAGATGATGTAGTATCGTATGACATCCAAGGCCTCCAGGCATCTAACTATGGAACAGATAAACCACCTCCAGCATGCACATCAAGCAAACCCATCAATTATGAATGATGCATGCGGATTTACTAAATAAGGATCCCAGTGATTACAGTATCAGGTATTCCAGAAAATTCGCACTTAAATATAGAAACTTGATTTTTCAAGCAGTGTCTCAAAATGACCTTTGCTACTATATTAAAAGTGTAACTGCTGTAATTCTCAACTAAACAATCTCCTTGACAGGTCAGTTAGATTTTTATTTGTAAAAAATGCCAAGGTAAAGAACATCTAAGGCTTTTACATACAAAGGAAGGAGAAACTGTACCTTATTCAGGAAAGTAAAATTCAATTCTTTTTAATTCTTTAGTATAACACCAAATTTAATTCAAGTTGATAAGAATAACTTACGATGGAGTTCTGCTGCAAAAGGTAGTCCTGAGGACTCAATATCATTGACACACCACCAGCAAAGTTCAAACTAACTTGGGGAAATGTCTCTGAGATACTGAACAAAAAAACCAGATGCATTCTTAATAAGAAATGTCAAGTACGCAACTCCAATAAAAAGTTCTGAAGGAACATTTATTCTCACGAGCTTATAATACCTCGAAGTGACTAGGTAACATTGGTTTCCCCTTGAAACAAACGATCTAACAGATTGTAAAACAAATTCATTAATCTGCAAGAAACAAAGCAGTGAGCACCTAACTTACTCATATAAAGAAGAGATAAGCTAAGAGAGATGTAGAAAATCAAACAAAATTCCTGTAAAGCACCTACTGCATTGACAAAAGGATCATATGCCTCTTCTGCAAGGTATGCCAGAGTGGTTCCAGAATCAACAATTGTTCCTCGGTTGTTTGAAGTTTGAAATACTGATGCATCGATGGGCAATGATTGCCCATTTACAGAAATGCTGACCATATTCAGATTATAATGAGGCCTGAAAGAACGTGAGAAACTAAAGTGGCATAAATCCAAATTGGAGAAACCCCATGTAAAATGGTATACGGATTTGATGTAAGATATCAGGACTCGTAAGTAAAAACTTCATCCAAAAAGTACATTTATCAAACTGCATATCAGGACTCGTAAGTAAAAACTTCATCCAAAAAGTTAAATTATCAAACTGCATAGAGAAACATACTCTGATGGAACAAGTGGTGTGTAAACTATATTTGGCTCAATTGCCTGACCCAGAACCAAAATACCACCACCATTGTTATTCCCACTCAAGCAATGAGAGAAGGCATTTGGTGTCACTCCTTGTGAAGCAAGTTGCGAGACCACAGACAAACTCTGCTGTCCAAACCCAAAAATCCCATCAACTGCTCTGTCAGACTTGGTTAAGTCCCCAGTCTGTGTCGTGCTACAGCTGTGACAAACACGATAAGGAAAATGGATATATCAACCAAGGTAAAGAGCAAAAATTTACAATCCCATTTGTCAATAGCGGCTCACCCAAAGACAACAGAAGCAGAAGAATTCGACGTTACTGCACTCCCAGCTACAGTATCAAAATGCATCAAATCTGACACGTAAAACCCTGATGTCCCACTACCATCTCCATATTGGAATGTGTAACCACATTGATTGTTATCAGAACAGCCAGAATCTGAAGACTCAATACCAAGCGAACATCTTTGGTCTGAGCATGAAATCAAATTAGCTGTTGGTGAGCCTGATGGATCAAAGAGCTCAAGGGAGATCTGTGACACAAAGAAGTTAAAAAAAAATAAAAACCCAGAACCGAGATTCGTCGCGATTTTAGAAAGGTATGTTGCAGAAAAAGATAGGGTATTTTACTTGGAGTCCACTTGACGTTGGGCAACCATTGCAAGACTTACAACCAACCCAAAGAACATCACTACCAGTATCAATCTGCACATAGAATTCCTTTGGAGGGGAACCAAGTAGAACCTTTGTGTAGTATAGCCTAAGACAAAAGATTACAACAATTAATTACTGCTCCTTGAATTTCAAATTGCTTAGTGAATGATCAGTAAAATCATCTATACTTCTAATTCACAATAACACAGACAAAAGAACTTTTCACTTCTTCATCAGACAATATGTGCTAAACAAAACCACATTGGGAAGTATAAGGACTATCTTTTTCCACAAAGCAGAGTCAATTAATCATCAAAGCAAACAAATTTAAGGCAAACAAAACTTAAATAATCTGGGTTAAAGCATACAAGAAAATAATCAAGTACAAAAAAGAACAAAAAACCAATAATTTCCCACATTAGATCAACCGGCACAATTATCAAGGATAAGAACGCATAGGATTTTATACCCAACAGCAAAAGGGTCGAAGGTGCCTTGAACGGCGAAATCAACCACCCCATTCGGAGAAGATTGCTGCAAGAACCGGCCATGCCGGAGCCGGTCACGTTCCCTGAGTTGGCTGAGTGGGACCCCATGACTAGTCGGAAAAGCCCTTTCCAGCTGCATCTTCATCCCAATTCCTTCTACACACAAAAATACCGCCGCCGGCAATAAAAACCCGGCTAAAACCAACACCAACCCATATCTCGCCGCCATCACCATTTCCCCTCAACTCAAACCCGAATCTTCAAAACCAAAAACTTCCCTTTTCTCCTAAGACTCTAGCCAATAAAATCAAAACTATGTCTTGGAAAAGGGAATATCTTTCTAATCTTTGTATTCACAAAAAATATGATGCGTATCAACGAACCAAAATAGATTCAGGGGAATTTAAGTGTCAAAGGTTTTTCCTTTATTTGGTCGGAAGAAAGAGAGAAGAAGCCGCCTCTGTTCATTCCAAATGTTGCAGAGAAGGACAGAAAAGAGTCCGGGAAACAACAGCCATTTACCAGACGGATTTCAAAGTTTCAAACACTTCGATTAAGGATTAAGGAACGTTATTTATATCTGCAAATTTTTTTATTTATTTTCTTAAAAAAAAAGAAAAAAGAAAAGAAAATTCTTTAAGATCGTGTAATAAAGTCTCCTCTTTTCGAGCAGGTGTAACAATTTTACTTTATCTTTTCTTTTCTTTTCCTCTTTTCCTGTTTTTTTTTCCCCTCCTATTTTTTCTTAAAACGGGCATTTCATTTGAGGCCAACTAAACATTTCTCTTTCTTAAAAAAAAAGAAAAGAAAAGAAAGAATTTCATACTCGAACTTACAATCGCTTATCTTTCATAAAAATAATTTTTGTTTACTTGGTAACTTTGATTAATTGTTTGAACTTCAAGTTGAAATTTTGGGATCAACATATTAATAATAATGTTAAGTTAAAAGTTTTCTTGTTACAAGATATTTAAGCAATTTTACGATCATAAGAAGAAATATTTAACCGATTATATCCTTTTTTGCAAAATAATAATGTTTCACAAGTAAAACGAACTATACATGTTAATTAAAACAGAATTAAACTTTGTAACTGTAAGAATATTTTTTTTAGTAAGGAAAGAAAAAATATGTTTCTCTAAACAAAAAAAAAAAAAAACCCACAACTAATATTCGCATACCTCCAAAGTCCCTTCTATAGATTGGAAAACTCGATGAGGTGATAAAAAATAAACGATTATAATTTACAAGTCACCAGAACATGAGCACGAGGTGCAATTAAAACTAAAATTAAAACAAATTCCCCTTTGTCGATAGTTTGAATTAAAAAATCTTATTATTTGAATCCCATCCTTCTTTTTTTTTGTTTTGTGTTTTGATTGAGATTTGGTTCAAATAAATTTTTTTTAATATAACGATGACTAGAGAAAAATGTACAAATGATACAATTAGCATAGTAGTATATGTATTACGGACTAAATCAATTTTGTTTTGGTGTCCATCTTCTTTCCTTGAAGAGGAAACGTGATGCTGGAGGTTATCGAATCTTATAGTTCAATCAACTAAAATAGAAGCTTCCCTGCAGAGATTTAGTCAAAGAAACGAAAGATATTCATAAGCAAAAAAAAAATAATTGATTGACATCAACATCAGAATATACAGCTTACGGGCTTTTCTTAATCATCTGGATATATGGACAAATCGTATCTTGACGAATTTTCAAGTTTTTTGACGACGTTGTCTCTTTCCGATATAGGACACGATGAACAAAACCAAAACCATAAAAATCATATCTTTTCCAACAAGAAATCGCATGCATTGATCCACTAAATGAAATTTTCTTTCTTTCTTTCTTTCTTTTTTTTTTTCGCGGTAAATGAGATTTGTTTGTGACTTTTCAAATATAATCTAACATGCTTAACCCCCACTTGTTCATTTCCAACATATTGAAACTTATTACTTTCTTCTCAAAATAATTTTTTAATTTGTTATATATAATCATCAAACTTACTTTTTGATAGAACAGACATGTATTGATTCTTCTTTTGTAAAAATAAAAAATAAAATGAAAATACTTTTTTCATTCCCCTTTGGGTTAAAAAGAACGTATATCCTTCATGCCCCTAGCTAGGATGAAGCTTATAAACTAAATATCTAAGAAGCAGGGAATATTATGATCACGGTAACAAGAAATGTGTGTATCTTTTTGGCGAAGATGATACCAATAGCACATATACCAGGTTGGTCGAGATATATATTCTCCAATGAATTTGGCTTAAGAATTTAGAGTATATATAGACAATTGATAAAAACAATAACAATCAAGCATCAGTTTTTACCACCCCCTTCTGTCCAAAAAAAGAAATAGATTACATCGCGTTTTTAAATTTATACTAAAATTAGTACGAGTCTCAAAACTGATCAAGATGTACTTTTTTTTTTGTTGGGGCAGATGGAGTATAAATTTTGAGATCGAGAGTGAGTATGTAAAGTATATTACACGCAGCCAGACACGAAAAATGTTTGTATCACAGTATATATGCATTGGAAAATTCTGACAAAATAATTACGAAACTCAATAAAGGCCGGCATTGTGATAATCAAGTACTTGTTTTAATTGAATAAAAGTTAATTAATTATTCTTCGTGAAAAGCAACGTACGGCACAGCAAGGACCTTAAAAATGATTAGGATTATGCATTTTTAGCTAACAGGTTGGAATCGGATAAAGAAAGTACTATAGCTTATCCCAATATATTCTTCTTCTCTAATCCGTTTGACAAAACTTTCTTTCTTTCTTTCTTTCTTTTTTTTTTTCTGGGGTGTTGAAATTTTAAGTCACAGGATTACGTGTGATTTGTCCAACACTGATTACATTTAAATGGAGATTTCCAGTCAATATACATTTTAAACACATGTAATTACATAATGTAATCTAGAAATCCGGCTCCTTTGGCATGCTTATACAAACTCAAATATTGTTGTACTAGATGTTGATTTCTTACGTGTTTGTTATATAAGTCGGGAAATGCAAACAAATACTACATCCGCTTCAGAAAAACAGTCCACATTAAATTTTCAAAATTGTATTAAAATTAGTACAAATCTCAAAATTCAATGTGGACTATTTTTTTTGGACTGGGTAGTATCAATTCTTTTTCTCTAAAGGAAAGTCCTAACTTTTAATTGTTATTTATACAATACATTTTTGAACCTCATTGACTGCAATTATTACACATAACTTTTATAAGTTGGGTGCGAGCTTTTTTTAATAGTAAAACAAAACTGTTGGAAAGTGAGGTTTACTGCATTCAAATAATTGCCACATGTTTTATTTTTGTTTTAAATTGTCATGTATATATTTTCTCCTTTTTGAGATGCTAAAGAAATAAAGCCAATGAATGAACCTTCTTCACTGCATCCTCTACTTTTTTTCTTTTGATTGAAGCAGGGTTCTGAATGCATCCATTCAAAAACATTTGCCTATTTGGAGTCTGACTTTGCACTTTTTAACAAATCCCAAAGTGCTCAATTATTTCAAGTTTTTGGTGTGAATTGGTCGGTCTTTTTTGATAGCTGAGTTAACAATGGCCACTCAATTTTGTTTACCGCTTTTTTGGTTTTTCCTTTCAGTTTGGAGATTTGGCCGTCGACCTAGTTAGCAGTAGTAGTGCTCATCGATCTCATTCATCGGGGCACATTGTTTTTTTCTTTGCCTTTTTTCATCTTTTCGTTTAAAGGTAATAAGTTGATGCCTAACTTAATCAGCTTAATTACTGTGCTAAGTTTGTACTGCATGCAAAATATACGTGTACTTCTTCCTTTTTTTTTTTTTTTTTTTCCCTTTCTAAAAGCAAATCGGTATGGAGATCGACATGCATGATCATTGAAGTTGAACTACTAAGTTCCAACAGCTACGAGACAAAACAATTTACATTACAAAACTACTATAATCGATGGTGCAAGTTTTCTTAAAAAAAACGTCCCCAAAAATCATCTCCTTCTCTTGTCAGATTAGCCTTTTAAAATTTGTCAACGATTAAAATGGGTCTCATGGATTTATTCTTATAGTCGATCGACCTGGCTAGCTTTTTGAATATGTATTTAATCAGGTAGAACTGGTAATATGTTCTTCTACACCTACAACTACTAGTTATATATTCCAGAGAATGTAATAATAAAATTAAATAAAAAAGAAAGAAAGAAAAAACGCGTAAATAGTAGTAGGTAAATGTATACTGGCGTCACGGCATATGTTATACTACTACTAGTAAGACCAAGCCTTTTAATTCTTGTAAGTTCAGCTGGTCTTCGGAACATTCCATTATTAGTTGTATATAAATTTCCCGTTCAAATATAAGCCACACATGTGGCTCTTTTAAGTTGGTGTCTTCTGGAGTGATTCAGATAGAAAATGTTATCAAATTATTATATTTTGTAGTTCCCAAGTCTATTAATTTCTAAGCAAAACCAATTAAAGAAGTTCTTCTTCTTCTTCTTCTTCTTTTTTTTCCCTTCCAACACTCATAAAAGTAGTTTTTGTTTGTGTTGTATCGTGTCTAACGTAACAGATATTCCTACCGTCTCAAAATTATTGTTTAATTTGGGTTTTTCATTTTTAATATAAATTGAAATATAAGTGAAAATTCAAACTGAATAATAATGTTAGGATGGATGGAGTATGATAATAATTTTGAGACGGAACAAAATATCTTTTTTGATACAATATAGATGTTGAATTAGATGTGTAGTTCAACAAGTTTGTCAATTTATTCAGCTCAAAGCCTCAAACAAAGAGCAACAGAAGTCATATTAATTAAGTTACATAGAAACTGATGTTAGAAACGGGTGAACTACTAGTGAAACTTTTTTCTAATCTAAAAGATGTGCATCTAAGCCGACATTGACTTGATCATTTGAGCTAACATATTAGATTCGCTTTGTACTAATCTGTAGCTGGTATTCCTTTTATGGTCTCCTAAAAAAAAGTCTGTGTTCTTGTACAATAAACGTGACGTTTTGAACTTTTGATAACAGCAGTAATGATTAGATTACCTAAAGGCTTTAGTGGTAAAAAACAAAAAAAAACTCTTTTGTTCCATCTTAATAGTTTGTTTAATTTATAAAATATAGTTATTTCTATTAAAAAAATATAGTATTCTAAAAATATACCATTCATTCAAAAAAAATATTAAAGTGGGATGAATAGTAGAGTGATAAATTCCCGGAAGAATTAAAAACAAAATCATTGGGAATGGGCTTGTTTATCTCGGTTCATAGCATGGTCATCAGAAGAATATTTGCTAATGGACAAAGTGAAAAGTTTTTGGATGCAGAAAGCAGATGCACCCCACAAACTAGCTAACTGGGAGCCCTATATTGTGGACGGCAGTTCAGAAGAAATGTGGTTTATGGATTCTGTTGGAAGAAAAATTTGTAAACTTCAAAATGGCCCAAAAACTGAGATGTGTATTTGCCATGAACCATAGTAGTGACTTTGGGCCAGGTACATACAATACAAAAGAAAAAATGTGGAAGAGACAGTGTAAAGAGAGAAGCATGCATAATAACATCCTAATATTGCTTGGAAAGCATAATTCTGGGGAGCTTATTTTTGCTTCCATATTGCTTGGAGCTTAGGTTTCAGAAAAAAAAATTTTGGAGATGGATTCTGCCTCTCAGACGGACAGACAAGCAGGTTCTCTCAAGCAATGTGTTAAGACGTATTATGGCATTGCTTGATCAGCAGTGGACAATAAATTTTAGCCTCGTTCGTCACACAATCAATGAGGCGGCAGATTCATTGGTCAATTAAGTTTCTCTTGTCCAACGGAATTTATAGATTTTGTCAATGCTCTCGTTAAATACTGCTGAACTAATATCTTCATACCGTAGTGTTTTGACTTCAAGCTTCCTTCATATATATATATATATCTAAATCCAAATATAAGCAGGAAAAATCAAAATCAAAATCAAAATTTATTTTAAATTACTCCATTCCAACCAAAAAAAAAAAATGAATCAAAATTTATACTCTCTTTGTCCCAAAATTATTGTCCAAACCTCTAATTTAGATTTTTAGTTTCAGTACAATGAAGGAGGTGTGCTTGAAAAATAACTAAGCATGCTTAATAACATTACTTTTTTTTTTTGGGATAAAAATAACATTACTTGGTAAAGAAACCATGGGTATTTCTAAAGAAAGTGAACAAATCTATATTCGCAACAAACCCAATAATCCATCTCCCGTTCGGCTCTCACAATTATGCTCACAAATTAAGGCTCTCATTTTTTTTTCCCCTCCTTAAATATGTTTACAATTTAAATATAACCTTGTTGAGTTTGATCATGATTAGTTGTATAAAGGTGAAGTGAATTGTTAGTATGAATTCATGGACGATTGCTTTGCCACCATGTCTAATTTGTAGGGTTGCCACGCAACAACAATATGATTATGTGGATAAGCACACGCGCGTAATCTAGTTTGTTAAGGAAGCAGCCTAAAACTGTGACCGGTTTGTGGTGTTTTGGTTTCTAATTCCAAAGGATTAAGGCAGTGAAGCTGTAATTAGGGGTTAATCCCACAAAACTAAGTCTGGTTTATGGTGTTTCATCCACTTGTTCTCCCATCCACAAAGCTGTTTAACCAACTTTACAATAAACAAATACTAGGATAAAATCAAACTAAAAGTATATTCTTAGCAAAAACTTTGCAACTTGCATATATGCTGTTTCTTACCCCACTTGACAAACATGACCAGATTAGATTACAAGGTTGTTTGAATAACGTTAAATATCACGCAACAAAGCCAAGTAATGTGGGTGGGGGAGCAAGTTGATGATCAAGTTGGGTGGGTTAGTAGGTGCCTATCTCCCCTTTTGGACTATTTTTCAGTTTTCCCCAATCAAATTCATCCCAAAGAAAACATTAAAAGGACCAACTAAGAGGAAACCCACTAGGTGGCTTCAATGTTTGCGTGTGTATATTAGTGTGTATCTCCATATTTTTATTTTTTATTTCGTAACATCTTGTCTTCTTGCAATAATATGCCGAGTCCTTCTTGCCATTCGCTCCCTCTTCCCATGAATTATGGACATCACTATGAGAAAGTGAGCTGATTGGTCAATTTCACTCTATTTGAATACATAAATTGTTAAATCCCTCCTCTTTCCTTAAGCCCTTGACCTTTGAGGGGGATGGACGAATATGGATAAGTTTTTCATTGGACAAAAGGGTCAAAGCAAAAGACATTTCACAGTGTGAAAAAAGTTCGGTTACACTAGCTATATGCCCTTAAAGGACTTCGTAAGCACATCGGTTTTAATTTCAGTATTTCTCGTTCTCATTTCTCTGTTCATAGTAAAATTTGTATTTCTAGATTATTTGCGGAGAAATGATGAACTGGTGACAAGTGTTTAGTGAAATGAGATTGTGATTTCTCATATTTTACATGTATACAAAAATTGGTCTTTTTGGTTTGACAATTATTCAGTTAATAATAGTTTAATGATTATGTTTTTCTTTTCACGCTTTTTTAATCGTGTTTCTTTGTGTAATACAGTATTCTCTCCATTCTAAAAAAAATTAGTCCATAATTTCTTTTCCCCCCTCATTTATTGTGTAGAGTGGGATAAATGGAACATTTTTGGGTTTATTTGTTTCTTTTTTGGTTGGTTTTTTTCAGAATTTAATCTTAATAACTGTCACATCCTAACATACCTTTTTACATTTTTAATATATCTTTTTACATTTTCAATAAAAAAAACACCTAAAAGCTCACACTGAAAAAACGAAACAATCAGACCCTTTGTTGTTTCTACATATCTGTGTTGAAGATAAGGACAAAGATTGAAAGGGCAAAGAAGTAAATCACTCTGTGTCCCAAGTCAGCAGGTCTCCACGTCATATTAATATTGGAGTTGAGAATCTCTCTCTATAAAAAGAATGGCCGAAAGCAAACCAAACGAAAATCCATCCCATTTTTTCTTTCAATCTTTTGAATCCAAAGTTAGAAGAAATATTCATCCACTTTTTCAACAACCAATCCAAAAAGATAGCAGCCTAAGAAACCATGTGCGGTGGAGCTATAATCTCCGACTACGTTCCCCGGAGAAAATCATCATCCCGGCGACTGACGGCGTCCTCATCCCACCTCCGGGATGTTGCCGCCAACATTTTCGGAAGCACTCTTTCCCAGAAGAACAACAACAATGTAGTAGTAGTACAAAAAAGCAATGGGTACTCAACCGGAGTGAAGTCTGAGGTTATCGATCTGGATCACGAATCCGAGACCGATTTCCTTGATTTCAAGGAGGATTATGTCCAGCTGGATGATATTAAGCCCTTCAATAATCTACATTCCGGCGTCCAAGGTAGTATTAAATCCTCCCTCCTTTTTCTGTTTCTCTGTTCCTCGATGTTTTCTCAAATTTCGGTAAGGGATTTTGTGGGTTTTTTTTTATTTCTAACTCCATTTTTGTTTTGTGTCCTTGAAGGGTATGAAGCAGCGGAGAAATTGAGAAAAAGAAAGCGGAAGCCGCCACACCAATACCGAGGAATCCGACAGCGTCCTTGGGGAAAGTGGGCTGCCGAGATTCGTGATCCCAGGAAAGGAGTTCGAGTTTGGCTTGGAACTTTCCAGAGTGCTGAAGATGCTGCTAGAGCTTATGATGCTGAGGCTCGAAAAATCAGGGGCCATAAAGCCAAGGTCAATTTCCCCATTGAAACTGATCCAAAAATATCCAGGCAGACCCGAAATCCAGTCCAATTCAGGAAAAAAGCAGAGTGCTCTGTTTTTGTTGATCTCGAGGAATCGAAGCCCATTTGTCCTAATGTTGGCTTGAATTCTTCTGATCAAGGAAGTAGTAGTTTTTGCAATGATGATATCTCAGACTTTGAGTGGGGAGAAAAATGTGTTGAAATTCCAGAAATATCTTCCTTCCTCTCTGCTGCCGCCATGGATGATCATGAGGAGGAAGCTCAATCTCTAGAGGAAGACGACGGCTTCCTCAATCTTGCTAAGAGAACCAAAGCGAGCCCGGCTGATCATCAAATTGATGAGTTATCAGCTTTTGAATCAGAGTTGGAGTTCTTCAAGAATCCTTTTCCAGAGGGGAATTGGGATTTGTCACTTGATGATGCGTTTCTAAGTGGAGATGTGAGACAGAATGAAGGGAATCAAATGGATTTTTGGACATTTGAGGATATTTATTCTACCTTTGGGGGTGTTTAAGGGCTAAATCACTCTTTATTCTGAGGCATCATTTGTAATTAAGGCTCTCCATGTTGTTATTTTAGAGCTTGTTTGAATGTACAGAAGCAGCTAATCTTCAATTTTTGTTGATGATCTTTTGCTTCCCGAAAGTTTTTCATCATTCTGATTTTTTTTTTTTTTTGTTTTGTTGAAGAAACTGATTTTTTGTTATTGAAAATGAGAAATGGTCCACTAGAGCTAGAGCTAAATATTCAGTGGTTTAGAGAATGCTAAAAAAGCAATGATGGATCAAAACCATAATGGTAATAATAATAATTGGCCTCCAGAACCGCCATTGTAGGCTTTGGCAAAGGATGGATTCCTAATAATTGAATTCCAAGTTCTTGAGACACATTGCATCAAGGTTTTCACTGGAAACCGTTTCAGGATTTCTCAATACAATTCCACAGGGAGTGCTCCAGCTACATTATACGCCATAGATACGTACATTAGTGTTGGACCAAGACAAAAGAGTGAACCAAAAATTCTACTCACAGAAAAAAGAACAGCAAAGGCATGGCTTACCCAAGAAAACCACCTAAAAATTCTGAATTTTGTTTCACCCCATACAATCTAATTGGTTGGAACTTGGAAGAAGAATTCTTCTCTCTCTACCTCGATTAATTTTGTTTGGTTCAAAAAACTCCATTACCCTTCCAAAAAAATAAAAACATATTTACATGGTGTCCACCGTCGGCAAATAGTGACTAATCCTCGATCACGCCTAAAGTATTTAAAATTGTTTCATGCCGAACCTCGACCTATGACTAAGGGTGTTTTGGGACATGTTTTTGATAATTAACTCATATGGCCTTTGCCTTTTTTCACAAAGCCCCAATTATTTTCTTTTGTGCCTTGGCTTCTGGTTGAAAGGATTTTCTTCCAATCCTATCCCAGTAAAATGCTTCCATAGAGAAAAAGTAGGTTTACAGGCACAGCCTTTCTTGTTTTTGGTTTTATATGTTTGCTGGTAGAAAAGAGGCCTGAGAACATATATATTACACAGAACGATGGAGCCATCTTTCAAAAGTGGTTGTAATCATTACAAAATTCTACTTTTGGAGAGTTTTCATTATTCTGATTTTGGTTTTATTAATTGAAAATGTTTGGAAATCAAAATTATACAAAAAAGGGTTCTGGCCTTCCAGGCTGTAGTGTACACAAGTCTGTAGACTACAATCACTACATAATGGATTATTGTTTTGCTTCTCTCATCAGAATCCAAGATTTCAGTTTTCTATGAGGAAGGTTGACCCAAGCATTTCCTCCACAAGAAAAATGTTACATGATTTAGAGAATGCAAAAAGCAGTGCTGCTTTTCAGTTTAGTCCAAGATCCAAATTGACTTGCTAAATTTCTGCTAACCACATTGTCTTCCTCTCCACAAACCGAAGAGCAGGTTTAGACCTCAAGAAAAGTAAATGGCTGTAATACCTTATACTAATGATCTAGTCTATGCCTCTTGAAGCAAAAGTGATGTACATGACAGAAGCGAACCTAACTCCTCTTCAGTTGCTGATCCAGAACCTTGCCATCGTATTCTACCAAACTTGTCGAGCAAGAATACATACCTGAGTAAAACAGTTGTAACTTATCAAACTACAAGCATGACAGAAATTGAAGGAAGAGGACCGGTAAACATTCAGAACGGAAATAAGTCTTACTCACCCAGTTAGGAGGTTCAATATTTTTAGCTCTTTTCTGAAATAATAATGGTCACCAAAAGAATATACAACTTGTCTCTGCAGCGCACCCTTCATATCATCAGGATTAGGTTTCCTCATTATTCGTAGAAGCAACTTCTTTACTGGGCTTCGTGTAAGTAACCATGAATCTATAAAGGACACCTGGGCATTTTAAAAAGTGATTATCAGTGGATAAGGAGGTGCTTCATTACAGGTCCTGAATAAAGTTTATTTCCTCAAAGTACAAAACCACAGTAAGACTTTTCCTGTTGTCCTGAACTTGCGATGCAGAATTCAGGTGAGCACGCTCAATTTCAAGAAATACCTTAGCTTCGTTTTCATGTGCTCGTTTTCAATTGCAAAAGAAACCATCTTTTTTTGAACCAAATGATCAGTTTTCTAGGTTGTATTAGCAAAAGTAATTTAAGAAAAACACTCCCATACCCTAACTTAAAAAGAAGGCACAAAAGACTAAATAAGTCAAGTGCGCTCGGCAACTTTTCCAAAATTATGTGAAGATGAAGGAAGTTTCATCGATGAAATGAGTTTTGCTTCTGATATGAGTGCGCTATATAGCTAATACATCCAAAAAGAAAAGGCTCGGCCACGCTCTGAGAGGAATCTAACAATTTTCTAAGACGTAGTTTCATATAAAAGGAGGTAATTAGGCAGCAGTAAGAAAGAAGGTCAAAGACAGTTGATGCTGAAAATGAGTGACTTGAGATCCGCGCAATTTGACAATCATTGACTCCAATAACAACGCTTGCATACCTCAAATAAACGAACATCATTAGAGTTTCTGAATTCATCAAGGAAAGGCAGGCTCCAAGAATCAATCATTGCCTGTTAAGCATAAATGTGCAAACAACAAGAAGTCACTGAGAAAGCCAAAAGAAAAAAAATTCTATTTACTGTGAATTAAACTCTAGAAGCAGGTCCAATCACAGATGAGGTAAATGTTTATTTAATCATTACATTATACCTACGACAGTCTAATCACCAATTTACAAGTACTGAAAACTCAAATTAGTTACACCTCATACTTGAGCTTTATGTCACTCAACACACCAATCAATTATCCCATGTTAAAATCAGGTACGACTCCCAGAAAATTTTGGGAGTCTACCGTAAACAAGGCTTTCTATCCACCCCACAAGACTTACATGAATGCCGATTAGAACTTAAAGCGCTAAAATCCAACATATCAAATATAGAAACTTGATGAGCTTTAATGCCTATAGTTTCGTATCCAGCTTCATCATCAGCATTGCACGGAGGTTACTGAATGAGCTTCCTAGTCTAATCTGCCCTTAAAGTGATCTTTCTATTAATGGCCAAAACCACCCAAATGGCTAATAGACGCATGGTTGTGGAGTTATCTAAAGTATTACATATGTGGAGACATGCTTATACAGACTCGACATCACATCTGAATAAGATCGGACATTTATTAAGATAAACTTGGTACAACTTCTTTCCTCTCAGGAAACCAGACTAACAACCACCTCACATACCCCTCCTCCGTCTTTTATCTTCTCCACCAGTAGTTGGAACAACCTCTTGCAAAAGTGTGATTGGTTGTAAAAAAAGCAATAGCAAAGCAGGAGTTCAAACCAGTCAGAAAGGAAGAGAAAAAAAGGCAAGAAAAAGCACTTTTGAACCAGAAGTTACCACATGGCACTCAAAGGCATTTGCTTTATCAATTTGTTTTGGAGTAAGATTAACCAGAGAGCTACAAGGCTCTCCACATAAACCAGTTAGGGTATTCAGGTATTGAAAACCAAACTCCTCTGTGATTAAGATACTTCCAGACATTCACCTCATTTTGGAAATGCTCCAGTAATATAGGAATATCAATGATCAATCACAGAAAGGTTGCCCATAAAAGTAACAACTTCAAACATAAATTACAACTATGAGTAATATATTTTCTGAACCTGTGAGCTTGCACGAAATGAAAGGCAGAGCAATGAAGCTTTAGGAACATCCAATTTGTCGGCACCAGAATCTTTAACAACGGAGGTAATTGGCAGTTTAAGACTTGAACCATCAGAATAATTTGCTTCCAGTTCAGGAAATTTCACGGCTGCCATTGCGGGAATAACAATCTTATTGGCCATTGCGATCTTCATAAACAAAATTACACAATAAGGTTCAGATCCAAAGCTCTAAATTGCTGCCATTTAACATCACTACTAAAAAACGGACCACCAAGATTTAAGTACTGGTGTGCAATATTTACCTTGCCACCATGCTTCTTCATTTCTTCAATGTCCGCAAAATAACCCCTATTCAACTCATCTGAACTGCCCTAAACCATATTAAAAGAGTTCAGCCATTAACAACCTGAATTTATGTTCTCCCAAATCCAACAAGCAACATAGCTACTAAAACTCAAACTTACAGCCGAGCACGCTCTTTCTCGATTGCAGACTTGCTTGCTAGCTGTTCATTCCGCAAAAGTGTTCACAGTCAACATTTGAAAGAAACATCACTTTGAATTGAATTCACAAAGAAACAACCAAATCTACATTCTGAATGATCGCTAAAACTCAAAAGCAAGGAAACCCAGAGGAAGATTTTGTTCATGGATTCTTGACTTTTGTATCTACAGTTCATCATTTTCAATTTCTTCCAAACTTAAGCAGAACAAATGCAAAAAACTATACGAACCTGGTGGATATCAAGAAAGCGGCGGGCAGTCCATTGAGATGGATTCTTAAAAGGGATGCCAGGACGCAGCTGAAGAAATTCGGGCAAGCAAAGACTTCTTGAGTTGAGAATCGATGGTGCCGCTGCGATTAATCTCTTTAATTTCAGCATCTTTGCCTCTATTCTCTCCGAATCTCCCACAACTCTCAAGACTTTTTTTTTTTTGTTGAAGAAGTAAATGCAACTTTTTTTTTTTTAAAAAAAACAATAAATGGGCTGAAATATTTATGTCTGTTGGGCTTAGGCGGACTATGGGCTCTCTAGCTAATTGTATGTATTTGTTATTGCAGAGATCAAATGAACCCTTATAAGGCTATGTTTGGATTGTTTTTTTTTTTTATATATATTTTTTTAAAATAAAAAAATTCACTCCAATAAATCTCACTTAAATATAGTAAAATTCCCTTTACAACTTCTGGTGGAAATCGAACTATGTGCCTTTGCCAAATTGAGAAGGATTAAGCCAATTACTAAGAGGATTGCAGATACATATTCATGCGGAAGATGCTTCCGCCTAAGTATCGCAATAAAAGGCGCGGAATCCTGGTTGACTTAAACACAAATATGTAAGGGAAAAAAAACTAAATCTCTGAATTTGAACATAAAAGCGCACTTCAATGTTTGCTACACTTTGTCCAAAATAATAATAATAATAATAATAATAATAATAATAATAATAAAAGTTACATTGTAGGTTGTTAATATAATTTAAAAAAACATGGATAGTTTTCTAGAACTCAGGAAGCATAATTGTTGTTGTAGGTTGAGAAAAAAAAGGTTTTCTAATAAATTAATTAAATAGATGGCTGGGATAAAACACAAAACTAAAAATAAATGGTTATACGAATGTAAAAATATGTATTAAAAATATAAAAAAATGCATTGAGAAGGTAAAAAAGTACTATATTGGGACGTGACATATATTAATTAAAAATTTTTAAAAAACCAAAAAACAAAAAAACGAACCAACACTTTTTTCAAACTTCCCGATGTCCCAAATATTGATAGAGACATTTGTGTCACTAGAACCAAACTTGCAATCTAGTTGTATGAAGTTATATTAATTTACCGATAGCGGCGTGGAAGGAGCAGCGTTGACGGACAAATCAGAATACTGAACAACGAACGGCAAGAAAAGAAGGTGACTAAAGCCTGAAAGCAAAGAACGGCTTGCAGCAATGAAAGATACGGTAGAAAGAACGGCGGCCGGCAGCTGAGAAAACGCCAAAAAATTTACAGAGAAGAAGAAGAATCAGCGCCAAAGTTTCGACAGAGAGGAAGATCTTGACAGCAGAAGGAATGGCTGAATGGACATCCGATTGATGACGACAACAGCGGCAAACTGGGACTGCAGATGAAGCAACGATGGGCAGAAAGAACGACTAATGATGACGATGATGATGTTGGTCGGCAAAGAAAGAGAAGAAGCTTCGGCCAAAAAAAAACCCGTCGGCAGCGGCAGTAAACAAAGACAGAAGAAGCCTCGGTTTTGTCCTAGCAACATCTTCCGACACTGTAGAAATGAACTTCAAATCTATCGCAAATTTCTGCATTTTCAAAAGTTATAACAAATCAAAATATGTACTCCTTCTGTCCCAAAATTAATGTCCAGTTTGAGATTTCACTTTTAGTACAATTTGAATTAGAAATGAAAACTCAAACTGGACAATAATTATGGGACGGAGTGAGTAATTCTTATGAACAATCTTGATGGTATCTTAACAAAAAAATCAAATCACATTTTAATTGTTTTTAATTGTTTTTGAGATTTTTGAGATTTTTTAATTGTTTTAAAAAAACATATTGGAAAACATATTTGAAAACAATCAGTATATTCGTGATCGGTGACAAAATTCAAAATCAATAAATGCAAAATAAAACATATAGATCCAATCGAGAAACTAACCATAGAGATAAAAATAGTAAGCAGTTGTCATCAATATAAATATGGTAAATTCTTAAAAATTAGAGAAAGATAAAAGTCAAAATAGAAAGAATTAGTATTAATGAACCAATGAATAAAAGAAAAATGTTGGAGCAACATAATAACATAATTAAAGAGGAAGATCAATTAAAGTTTCTAAAATATTGCCTCCTAATAGATTCACGGCTAAATGATTGTTGGATCGAAGGTTCCCTCGGCTGCAAGAATTTTCATCTTGAGTTCTTCAAGATGAGAATCTATTTCACGAGTCTTGACTGCATTTACTTGAGATGGCTTCATTAATCTCCGTATCTTTTCCACTTCCATTTGACCATCTTCTTTATGGTAGTAACCAACTTCTCCAACTGCCCGAAACTTGAGTATTCGGTGGCGCATCAGCTCCTCAGTGTCCACTATTCTTAATTCCTGCAAGCATTCATGTTAAGCTATCACAAACTCGATCCCTAACCATGTACTCTTTTTATTTTAAAATTATTGCTTACTTTAAATTTTTATATTTTTAGTATAAAATTAAAAGTAAGAATCCAAACTAAGATAATATTAAAGATAAAAATCCAAACTAGACAATAATTTTGAGACATAGAGAGTATCTAAGTTTTTAATAGTTAAAAAGGCTACACTTCCTAACTGCATTACATTACAGGGTGATAAGTTTCGAGTTGATAGTGCTCGCACAACAAAAGACTTGAAGAAATTATCTCTTGTCTATCTATCTTTTTTTAGAGCAGTTTATTAAGATATAAAATAAAACACTTCCATCGTCCTAAAATGATTGTGCAGTTTGGATTTTCACTTTTAGTATAATTTGAACTAAAAATGAAAGTCTAAACTGGACCCATCATTTCGGGGTGGAGGATCCACTGATAATGGGCAAGCACCATAAATTTGTTGCTTATTATAAACACAGGTGATAGCGCAGCTTACATAATAATTTTGATTAATTGGGAAATTTCAAAACTAGCTTACCTCCATAGCCTTAACAATGGCCACTCTAATCTCGTAAGAACCTTTTCTAGTTTGAGCATGATCATCAGCGTCCTGGAGGTGATGACAGCCAAATGATTAATATAGATCCACTCGATCGATGAACACTCAACAATTTATCCATGACAAAAAAAGGCTATAGAGATGGATGATTGCATACATAATGTTGCTAGGAATAAGAATGGAAAAGGGAAAAGAAAGAAACGGCTAAACAAGCCACCATCCTTCATTTGCATACGACTAAAAGTTGACACATTTTTATTCTCAATATAAGAAAGAGTACTCCATGGTTGTAAATTAGTAATATTAAAATCACTTGAAGCATGGTAAAGAGACTTCTAAAACTGTTTGAAATCTTGGTCTTGGATTATGATTTTCTAACATTTCCCTTGTTGTCTGCTCAATTCACCCTCCTCCAGAATGGATAAAACCAATTGCACATTCAATCGCAACATAAAATAAATAGTGCTTACCCGAATGACTTGACCTGCAATCCTTAGCCTGTAATGTTGTTCTTGAGAAACAATGTTCTCCTTTTCAGCTTCCTGTTAAAATGGGTGAGAGATGATAATGTAAGTAGCCAGCCTTTCTCAAAAACCAAAAACCCTTTGGCAAGTTTTAAAAGAGTACCTCACGTGCTGCTGAGGATAATCTCTGCATTATTTCTGCGCATCCTCCGGGACTAGTTGAATAAAAAATGAACAAACACAATGGTTTTTCAAATAATATATTCAGCAGTAATTTATGGAATGAAACTGCATAAGGACTACATCAAACAGCATATTTTCCTAAAGAATGTGTAGCTTTTGACATTAATGTCTATATCCTAACATAATTTTGTTGCATTATCAATCCAAATACAGATTATGACTTTTTGATCCCATCTATAGACATTTTGAGAAAGTTCTAAACAAATTTGTCACCAGATGTTAAAAAAACCTATGATATTATGTAGGGAAACAGATCAATCGGATAGACAAATTATCACCTGCCAACATAAAATGCAGAGTTCTCCATCATTAGTAGTTTGTTCGCACAAGCGATCAAAAGAGCACTAGCGGAACCACCTTCGCCAATCACTACCGTTATAATTGGAACTTTCAAGCCAAACATTGTCCTTAAATTTTGTGATATTGCTTCATCCTGCAGGATTCATTGAAATTACAGTAAGACAACTATGCGCAACAGATATCAAAAAAAAAAAAAAAAGATTTAGAGTTCAAAGAGCCAGACAAGCAGCAATTGGTTCACCTGACCAAGTTCCTCTGATTTCAAATCAGCAAAAGAACCTGTTGTGTTGATAAAAATGACAATAGGGAAACCAAGATGTTCAGCATACTTCATCATTTGCGAAGTCTTTCTGTAGCTGCAAAGAAGTTAGTAACAATCTGTGTGTTACCACCCTTAATCTTTTAACCAAGCAAAAATAAAGAGCCGTGCAACATTGATTGAAATCCTATACAGCGGAAGCGACATAAAACAGCACGTATCATTTTCAAGGAAAACAACCGAGAACTCTAATTGGTCCTATGAAATCTTGAAGGTGCAAAAGAAAGAATATAATGGTGACACTAAGTGTATATACCCTTTCTTAGGAAAATGAACAAATATCTGATGAGGTACAAAAAATCGACCACCAAAAGGCCTTTTGTTACATATGAGCACACTGGATGATTTTAGTAGAAAATATGCAGAACATAGGTGACATTTGGTTCTGTGGATTGAAATGTGAAGTGAATCTTTACCCTTTAAAACTGTCATTTGTGTGCCTCTGATGACCAATGAACATGTAAGTTTCAGATTCAATGGTCCCTAGAGCAGTCACAATTGCTGGATCATCATAGCCTGCTTCATCATCTCCATGGATTCGTACCCACTTTATCATGTTTGAAAAAGCACAACTTAGCACTTACACCCTATGTCATTAACAAAAAATCAAATGAAAGATGGTAGCGCATATACCTTTTCTGTGATTCTTATAATGTGATCAAGAATTGTCGGCCTATTTGGATTTCTAGCAATGGTCATGCGCTGAATTGGCGTGAATTGCGCGTAAGAAAGTTTGTGAGCCTGAAAGTACAAAACCAAATTTGTAACAAAGAAGGAATTGCTAGTAAATCTTCCATACAACTACTGTACCATTTATTATTGTGCAGCCAGAGAAAGAGGAGGCAAAGTTGTCATGTTAGGGGAAAAGTTTTATTATATAATGGTGTGTTGTTAACACTATAAAAGGGTACAACTTCTGAATTGTAGAATTAGTAGAATTTTCCAAAGTGATCAATTGAATTAATGGTGTAGCTCCTACGCATAATAAACCGAATATCTTCAGATGTTGAACTAATTAATAAGTTACAAAGTTTCTTAAATGGGCGAGGCACAAGAAATTTCTCACCAAAAAAAAAAAAGACATGAACCAAAAATGCCTATAAATTACCTCATTATGCTTGATCCTCAAAAGAGAGAGCTGATCACCGAAATCTAATCCAGTTTTTGCAACGGCTTGTTCCACCTGACCAAAAATTATCAATAAAAGATTATGAGTTTGAATCAAAATAAGAAGCATAAAATGGGTGCATGGCCATCGGAAGCTAAAATTCAAACATCTAGCTACGTACACATTGCTTTAATTTTCAGAAGCAAAATATTGAGACTACACTTAACATTGATCCATCAATCTGGAGAAGTACTTATCTTACAAGGAGGCTCAATCTACCTCATCGATGTCTTCCCTCAAACATGCGAGTGGCTTCTGAAATGAAGGGAGGTTCGAAAACAGTGCCTTCATTGGAAGCCCAAGCTTACTTTCCATGGCCTTCAAGTTGGATAGATACTTTTTTAATGGGTGGTCACAATTTGGATCAAAATCATCATCATCATCGACATCAACAACATCATCATCAATATCTTCGTCGTCGTCATCATCATGAGTATTGATGTTCCCCTTTTCAACTATTTTTAGTGCAGCCACCAGAAACTTGGGCTTGCTCCTCATCATCACGCATCCTTCCACATTTCTGAACCAGACCCTATCTAAACCATTACTTCTGAACTTGCCCTTCTCTTCTCCCTTTCCTATTGCAAATGAGGCGGCGAAGGCAATTATAGGTAATGATGTAGTCATCTCCTAGAGCAATTAATTACCTGGGAATATTATTACACCAAAAATGTCAAAATTACAAAGAGTTTAAGATTGCACAACTTTGATTGAAACAAATCAGCATGTGAAATATCATACTCCAGCCGTCCCAAAAAACTAGTCTACAATTTGTACAACAAAGTAATAACTATATGGTCATTCTTCCTTTAGGATTCATATTCTGAGACTCCACCATACAATAAAAGATTTTCACCTGCTGATCAAACGGGTGTGTTTATTTGTTATTATGTTGCATAGGAGATGGTATTAAATTATCAAAACGAATCAAACCCTAATCATAAAACCAACCGTAAACTACGGGACCAGACTTCTAATGAAACACTTCTATCATTATTAATTTTTCATTTTGACGACATTTCATGGCTAAACGAATAAAAATTAATTTTGAAATCTGTCACTTGCCGAGTGCAGCTCTTTGTTGCTATGTAGATTTGCCTGAGATTTTGCCTTCAGCTTGACCAAATTCTCCAGAGTGCTCCCCTTCTCGCCCTGGCAGAGTCAATCAATAATTTTGTGTCCAGCTCTCTCCTTCAACTCACATGTAGACTCGTACTTAGTTGCTCCACGGAGTGAAATCCTTCGCACCTATATATATATATATATATATATATATATATATATAAACTAAGTAACTAACTAGGGTTTATTAATTTGCTTGAAACTTACGATGGGGTCTTTAAAAAAATTATTACGGAGTATCTAATTATCTTATGGATTGTGTTTATTATTTTTCTTTTGGAATGAATTCCACAGTTCTACCTCTTATGCAATTGCATACGATCTTTTTGGTATCTTTTTGGAGTTTGTATTTGATTTAAATTCTATTTTTCCAACCATTAATATTTAGACAAGCCGGAAAAAAAAACTTTTTTTTGGCCAAATAATTATTGTGGTATCTTTTTGGAGTTTGTATTTGATTTAAATTCTATTTTTCCAACCATTAATATTTAGACAAGCCGGAAAAAAAAAACTTTTTTTTGGCCAAATAATTATTGTGGTACATGTTAAGAAAAGTACAGTAGTATAATAAATTATAAAATACTTCAACAGGGGGCAGGAAATTTTAATTACTTATTTCTAAACATTTTATTTGTTCAAATATCAAATACAAGAAATTCCTCGCCGTTTAGAAGATGAAAGCGGGTCCTGCTACCCTTCCCCCTTGCTGCGCAAAAAGATGCCTTTAAACCTAGTTCCGCTCCCGATCGGTTCGGTGAGAGTTATTAATTACTCACTCTGTCTCAAAATTATTGTCCAGTTTGAATTCTCATTTTTAGTTCAATTTGTACTAACACTGAATATTTAAACGAGACAATAATTTGGGGACAAAGGAAGTATTATTTTTTCGAGTTATATTTCGCGCATAATTTGTTAGCCAGAGAATTCACTGCGATATGTATGATTAGGAGAGGATTGTAGATGGATTATGCTTATGAAAAATATGGAAAAACTTTGAATTTCTTGCTTAAGTTTGTTGGCTCTCGAAGTTGAATGATAAATCTATGATTTCTGATGATATTAATGGTGGAATTGAGAAATTTGTTGATGAGATTATGTATTGATTCAGTGCAAGAATTCAAATGTTCATTCCGCAACTATAAATGAAAGTGAATGAGAATATTGTGCAATTTTTCGGGATGAAATTGGGGAATAGATTTTGGAATAGAGTTTTAGAATTCTGAAATCGGTGTTATCAAGCAACTCAACGACAGTAACTAAAACTCAATCATATTGAATTAATTAAAAGCTCCAAGGCGGAGCCAGTGTATTGGTTTAGGGGGTGCGAATTAAAATTAACAGAGTAAGCACTAAAAACAGGAAAAATACATTAAATATTAAGAATTATTAAAATAATATAACTAGTTGTTAAACCCGCACGATGTGTGTGGTTTATTTATATACATCTATGAAAAAAATAATTGAAATTTTTAAATGTGATAAATACAAATAAAGTGATTGGTTTGTAATAATAAATATTAGATGAGCAAAAGTAAATTATGTCAGTGTCATAAGTAAAGACTAGATGCTTGCCTCGGGCAAATGTCCGGGGTGTCGCCTGTATTTTTAAATTGATTAAATAAAAAATATCAATCATTTTTAAAAGAATAAAAAAAATTAGAAGAATAAAAAATTGATTGAAAGGACAAAAAGTGAGTTATTACACATAAATTTATGCCGAGATTTACAATATTTAATTTATAACAGTCAACTTATGACCGAATTTACATAAATCATAAACCAATATCTACAACAGAAGAATAAAAAAAAATCAAATTTCTTTCATAACAACTTATTTTTTCTCTGTTGTAGAAAGAGATGGATCGATAATTGATGTCAGATTTTAAGTAATTAATTTAAAAGCCCGGGTGTGAGAGAGGAGCGGAATGGAAGAGATTCTTTGAAATTGGAGATTATGAAGACATTACTGGTGTTTCACTTGATTTAAGAGGATTTCCTTACATTTGATTTTATCAACTAAATATTGTTGTTTTAAGGGATTGTTGTTCCAGTAGGGGCTGTGGCCCCCCCTTCCCCAATTTTTTTTATGAAGAGAGGGATTTTTTTTCAGTGCAAAAGTTCAAAAAATCAAAATTTTTCCCCTGCTAAGTAAAAAATTTATCATTTTGCCCTTGCAGTTTATAATTTCTGGCTCCACCACTCCATCATTTTGGTTCCAAATCCTAATCTTATTCTAACTCTCTACTACTGAACGGTCTCCATCCTTATAAACAACCGAAACTTAACCATTAAACAATGAAGAAAAACGCTGCCATAACTTTATTTTCTAGCTCCATAAAGTACTAAAAGTTGCCAACTTCCGTCGGGAGTTTTTTTTTTTTGGGGGCTACGGATTCATATATCTTAATAATTGAAAATCTTGATCATTGAGAGGTTTTGAGCCTAACATTTTAACAAAAAACATCATGTCTTGCCAAATAGTCCTGTAAATTAGACAATTAAATTTGGAGACATTCATGAAATCCTTGGTCGTAGCTTTCAATAAGCAAAGTATTAAAAATTCTAACAACACAAATTTTGTCTAAACAAGACAGGCATATATATATATATATATATATATATATATATATATAGAGAGAGAGAGAGAGAGAGAGAGAGAGAGAGAGAGTAATGGTTCGTACAAGGAAAAAATGACAAGGAAAAATAACCAGAAATTGATTATAACCATTTATTTTTAACACTTTCCATTTAGAGTTTAAACATTTAAGGTTAGGGTATAGTTTAGATGATTGACAACTCATTCCTTGTAAGTTTTTCTTGTAAATTTTTTCTGTACATATCATTACTCATATATATATATATATATATATATATATATATATATATATATATAACTCACACAATTCTTTACCTTATTATTACAAAATCAATCAAGTGACTATAAAAGTGGAGTGCACAAAAGTTTTGAACCTGCTTCCATGTCTTCGCTAGATAGAAAAACATGAGTGTTTTGGGTAGGAAAATTCTAAATTATTTTTTTGGACGAAATTGCTTTCCATTCCAAGATATATAAATTTGAATAAAACCTCATAATTCAGACAATATTCCTACTCACGCTACCTAAAGATGCTGTGAGTTATACATCAAAAAGGGATACAAAAAGCAAGATAAATGTTCAAGTAAAGCTGGGGAAAATCTTCATTTTGGCACACCTGGTTTTGTTGTTTTGTGTCTCTCTCATTTTTGTAATGGTTGAGAGCTTCATCTTCAAGGAAAAAAAAGATTTTTCTCAATATATCTCTCTCACAAGGTGTCGTTTCTAAAAACTGCACCATTCCTAGATTCCCAAATATAATAGACTGCCGATGCTACAACTCCTGTGGTAATTCCATCACAAACAAAGCTAGAACCATGTTTTTCCAATAGTATCTGCTTTAGGCTAGACCATTGAAAGGACGGAGGATATAGATCAATCAATGCCAAGGCTTTAGTGATAATTTGTACCGAGAAAAGACATTCAAAAAAATAAGTGGCCGATAGATTCATCTGCTAACCGACAGAGTGGGCATCTTCTATCCATGTATGGATCATACTTGGAGATTCTAACTCTAGTGTTCAAACGTTGCAAGCAAGCTAGCCATGTGATAACGCAAATTTTGTAACGATGAATTTGCCCCAAGAGAAGAGATATTGAGGAGTTATTATATTCTGATTGCAAAGTGTTTCGTATGTACCTGCCACCGAGAATTCCAACCCTGCACCAATCCATTCCATGCCATGGTCCACAATATTTACACATCTAAGTGCCATTGGTCTCAAGTTGAGTAGATTCTTTATTGGCCAAGAGGTACTCTGTTTCACTTGCAAATTTCAAAAAGATACATATTTGATGTAGTATTCATGCACCCATTTAATCCAAGCTCTCTCTGCATTATGGTGGATATCCCAAATTAGTTTCAGCAATAAAGAGTTATTGACCATTACCGAGTTCTTCAATCCAAGACCCCCTGAGCTAAGTTGGCTTACACACATCATGCCAAGCTACCAATGCCTTTCTACTTTCATGGCTACCCGACCAGAGGAATGATCTACAGAGGGCATCAAGCTTTTTTATAATCTTTTTGGGGAGCACAAAGATTCGACACCAATAATTATGAAGGCTCTGCAAAACAGCTTTAACCAAAACAAGTCTTCCCGCATAAGATAAAAATCTTGTAATCCAGCTTCGAATCCTTTCTGTGATTCTTTCCACAAGCAATTGGCAATCTAATATAGACAAAGATTTTGAATTCAAAGGAACCCCGAGATATGTAACCAGTAGAGACCCCTCTTGAAATCCCAGGCAGTTAGCTATATCTTGTCTGATATTATGTGAAGATCTACAAAAAAAATATGCTGCTTTTAGACTGGTTTGGAAAGAGGCAAGATGTATTAGCAAAATGTGAAAATTCTTAATTATTACCAAAAAGGCAAATATGGAAAATGAATCCCCTAAATTTTGGAGTAATAAAACTTATCTTAAACAACTACAATAAAGGGTATGATTGTCATGAAAAGTAATTATCATATATTAACTCAATGTTGCACCCTTATAAGGAATTTTAAAAATTTCACATCCTTCTTAATAATTATTAAACCTACAATGCCCTTGGGACTTTTTAACCAGTTTGATACAAATGACTGTAAATGTCAGTAACTGTAGCAGTATCTAATAAATGTTTGACCTGATTTTGACCGTAAAAATCGGTAGTACCTTAAGGTTTTTTCATCATTTTATATGTTGTCATATCAAAATTTGTTTTTTCAACTCCTCTCTAGTGGGTGCGTGTAATAAATGCACGTCATGGAGAGTGACTTTCAACGAGTTGAGTTCCTCAATTTGATTTCTATTTTTTCTTTTCGACTTTTTTCCAAAATTTTTCAAACAGTCATATCTTTCAACATATAAATAATTAGAAAAAATACTATGTATCAAATTAATCTATGTGACAAGATCTTTCGATTAGGATCCATTGTTAACATTTTTAGAGTTAAAAAGTTTACCCAAATCTATGTAAAAAATAATATATATGCACTTCAACTATTTTAATGTCATTTTAATATGTGAAGACATATTTTCATTCATTCGATCAGGGACAACTTATGCAAGACCATTTCAGAATTTTCAATACCATTTCAGGTTTTTCACCAGTTAAGGATTTTTAAAACATGTTCAAACTTTTCACCATTTCTGGGTTAGGATTTTTAAAAACGGTTTAGAGTTTTCAGGACTGGTTCTGTTTTTTAATCAAGTTACTATTGTCAGTTCAAAGGGATTGGATTTTTGAAATGTTCAATAATACTAGCAAGGAAGCTTCTGGTTATCAAATACGGCACTTTACTGGCTTTTCGTTTAATTTCTCAATGGAGATAGGATTTATATGAATAAAATGTATGATGAAACTATTGTAACTTTTAGCAACCAATTCAAATCTTTTTATTTCTTGATAACCCAATAAGAACCTCAATTTTGTATATCATACATAAAATTGAATAAAGGAGATATTTGTTTATAGTTTCAAGAAATCTTTCTTTGGGATACAATATTAACTTCAATTTAGAATCATAATTATCAATTTTGTATATCATACATAAGATCGGATAAAGCAGTTGTCTACTTTTTTATGTGAATATAATCTCTTATTAGTTTTTTTTTTTAATTTCAAATTTGTTTTGTTCTTTTTTTCCCTTACAGTGGAGATATTGTGTTAAATGATAGATGTTGTTTAATTTTGAATTAATTATGCTCATTGTTAGGTTAAATGGTGTAATTTGAAGAACAAATTTTGGTTTCACTTTCCACACTGATGCAACTTACAGTGTGAATTTATTATGCCATATTGCTGTGGCAAAAGCTAAAACTCATTTTCAGTTTATAATACTTTGACATGTACATTTTATACAGGGCAGAATTATAACGCCGTACAAGCGCGACTTCAGGTTAGCTAGTATATATTAAAGGAAAGAAAGATAATCTACACATGTCGCCTGTTAAGGCCATCAATAGTTTCAGCGACCCATGTCATTATCTCGTTGGGTAGTTATTAATAGGTAAAACTTTATGTGAACTGGTAAATTTTAAATTTTACTTATTATGATTTCATTTGATTAATATTTATGGTTTTAGACTTTAGTCAGACTCGTAAATAGGAACAGATGCTTTTAATCTATTTTGTCCTTCATCAGCATTGATGACATCCACGATCGTGATGATCATCATAAATCTGACTCCTAACTAAAAACAGTGATGTTTCATGCTACCAGTGAATCTTTTTGCATTTCTTAGGGGTTTTGTGGAACTCTTTAGGGGATCATTTTTGCGTAAAAAACGGTAAATTTTAACAGTCTGAATTCAATATCGTAGTTCGGCAACGGACCCCTCTGTGTAGGAGATTTCAAATCTAAAGGTTGAAGTCAAGGTTTCTCATGAATTTATTAATAAGCTCATGGCGAATGACTGGAGTTTATCATGGGGATTGTTTCGTGCGGTTGAACGGAGCGAAACGGCAAAACAGATGCACAATAAACCGTAGAACGGAGATCGATAAACAGTGAATGATATAGTGTCAATAGAACCCGACAAGATTCTCAGTTCCGACCTCATCAGCTCTGATTCCAGCATCGATCGACTGAATTGAGATATGGTTTTTCTATAACTAGTCATGGGGATCATTTTGACTTAAAAAAATGATGAGTTTTGTGCACCAGAATGCGAGGAGCACAACGGCGGGGATCCCTTTGGCCGGCAAATATATTCTTTTGGCTGGAAAATTTCAAATCGGGAGGTTGAAGATGACAATTTTAAAAACTTGCTAAAAAGCCCCATGTCTCCAGGAACCCTTGCACTTGAAAGCTGAAACTTTTAATTGGTTGTCAATTTGGTGTGCTATCTGGTTCCTCAAGTTCGTCAATTTTACACTTTGAAGGATGATTAATTACACCTCATATGTGATTCTTTTGATTGTGGGCTAAATTCAAGTTGATCCGACAGCAGGATGCGTTCGGGAGTCCATACATCTAGAGATTTAAATAACAAAATAATAGAACTTGTGAAAAATGCTTTCCTAACTGCAATATTTGTGCTAATTACGAAATTGTTGCATGGTAGAAAATATATTTACGGGGACTGAAAAGAATAAAAAATGTATAAATTTATATTAAAAGTTTGAACACAATAAAATTTAAACAACCACGAAAGTAGTATTAATTACCCTCTGGCATAGTTATGAAGAGCTTTTACTAATTTATTACACTATCATAAAGAAATATCGATTAGCAATGACATTTGATCTGTTAGTATTGTTGAATTTAACACAAAGTCACCCATACCAAATATGGACAAAAATATGAAATTGTATTATAATATATACTCTTACAACTAATACAAAATAATTAACTTAAAAAAAAATAATTAGTGGCTATAGTATTTTCTAATCAATATTAATTGAAAGAATGCTTGCTTACTTTTTTTTTCTTTTTTTTTTTTTGATTGGTTGTACTAATTTGATAATGATTTAATGACTATAATAAATTATATAAATGTGTTATGACTATTTGATAATGTAAAAATAGGAACATTCTAATGGTCCCAATTGGTTTCAAATAATTTTCAAGAATTAATTAAAATCTTGGCTGAAGAATTATTAATATATTGATTAGGGCAATTTAAGGAGATTAAAATAAAAATTGTTAGTTAATTTAGTTTTGTTAATCTATGTGAAAATTGGTAAGTCTCTTGACAAGAATTCGATGCTCTACTCCAAAGGTTTGCGAAAGTTATCTTAATTAATGAGGAAAAGAATACATTACACCTTCTTGTTAAACATTTTGGCCATTTCCCGTGTTAATGTTTCTTGTGTGCATTTTTCCTATTTTTATTTTTGTTGCAAAACAAAATATGAATTTGGATGCCAATCTATCGACATGTTAATTGGCCTCCTCAAAAAATTAAAGAGGATCGTTAGGATAATTATTCAAGTTTTATTCAATTTCTCTAATAATCAAAATTTTCTTCCTACTTTTCATCTTACAATGATTTTTTCTCAAATATTTGGTATCAGAATAATGTATTTGTCAGATGTGTACGTTGAATCAAGTTCGTAAGAAAGACTTTTCAGATAAAAAGTAGATTTTTTATTTGCTAATGCTACAAACTAAAATAATACAAGTATCAATTGTTTCTTTATAATATTATCTAATCCATTCATCCTATATGTAAACTCTTGGTGTGAATTACTCAATAATACATGTGCATAATGAAATTACAAAATTGACTTCCATTTCAACAAAACACATCAATGATAAAATTGCAGAAGGATCTAAGATATAGACATTTTCATAATTCAACCTTTAATGCGTCATTTTCTTTAATATCTAATGATATATTAGAATTCATAGTTTATATTACTCGCCGGTTGTACAGGCACAATAATTCATACTTTATATGAGTTTTGTTTTCATTTTCATAATTAGATTATACTATTGGAAAATAAAGGAAAAGACATTTCGTGAAAATGGCTCAGAATCGTCACCTCCTTTTTATTTTTTTTTAGCGTAATTCATTTTTGTGCTGCGCTTCTTATACTCTCTATATATGTTGTGGTTTTACATTTATTTTTGTTGATATTAATTATGTATAAGAATTTTATATTCCTTTCCTCGAAGATAAATTCACAACTTTACTTTGCTTGAACAAGAACAGGCCCAAGAATATTCAACCTTGAACACCCAAATCAAATGAAATCTGGGTCACGATGGAGCTCAAAATAACATTTTTATATATAACTTAATAAGGAAGAGGAATCAAAAACCAACCAGCAGCTGCAGTGCAGAGTCCACTCAAAACTGGGAAAACAACTCAAATAGCGGAAAACAGAGGATAGGAACAAGACCCACCCTGATAATCCCTGAAACAAGAGATATACTAGGATGCGAAAAACATACTAAAAACAACGGAATATGCTACAAAAATCTAATCTTTCAACCAAAAGCTCTCATCTTTTTTACGTTCTCTTTTTTTTTTTTTTTGGGTTTTGTTTTACTCATGGGAGTCTCACTTGATCTTCACTGGCCGGCCTAATACCCCTTGTCCCTCCTCAGCTCTTTTAGGTATTCCTCTGCTGCCGTCAACTCTCTTTCAGCCTCTTGAACCTCGGACAAATATTTCCCCAGCTCTTCCGTGGACTTTTTTCCGTCCTTCATAGCTTTGTCACGTGCGTCCCTGGCCTTCTTAACAGCCTCCTTTTTCTCATTCACTTTCTCTATTGCCTTTCGGATGGCTGGGCTATCATCTTCATTAGCCTGAATCCTCATCGAGAGTGTGGTGGTCTTTGAGAAAAAGGAGGCCTTCTTAAGAGCCTCCTTTTTCTCATTCACTTTCTGTTTTGCCTTTCGGATGGCTGGGCTATCATCTTCGTTAGCCTGAATCCTCATCGAGAGTGTGGTGGTCTTTGGGAGGGAACAACAACGTTGTTTTTTTGGGTAATTGGGATGGGTGGTTAAGAGTTTCGGGAGCAGAGGGAACCCAATGCCTGCCATTGAGAGTTAAAATGAAAGCTTTGAGATGGAAAAAACAGGGGAGGAATTCAATAGAAAGTTCAAAGATGAAAGCAGAGAGGGGGGAGGAATTAGAAAACAGGGGAGGCGTGTATATATAATGGAAGAAGGATGAAATTACTGGAATGTGATTGGTCCACGATGAAACATGGGGGTACAAATTTGCCAGTACCAATTTGCTGTGTTGGCTCTACCGGAAAAGAGAATCTTTCTGGCTACGTCGTGGTTATGGTTATATTTTCATGTCCTCTGTTTATCGGTGAAATGCTGTGTGTGGATCGTCATCATCATCATTTTCTATAATTCCTCTAAAATCCAGCTGTTTTATTTTCAACTATAAAAATTCAATCCAATATTCACTGTGTGATCATCAAAACCCAAACAGTGCTAAATGTAAAAAAGGTCCTTTTTTTTTTTATATGAAAAAATGACACGAATTGAATCTAATGAAATAGTGAGGCACGAAATCACAACACAATATTCTCAAATTACACTTTCGTCTTTTGATGAATATAAAAATTCAATTTTTTTTAATCTTAATTAAATTTCCAAACTATTTCATTTCAGTTAATAGTGTTACGTACTGTCTCAATCAAAATATATACAAAGACGTCGTTTAGTCTTTGCATCGAAAGCAAAGCGTTTCCTTTTAGCTTTTGTTATAATTTCTTACTTAAAATGTATTTCAGGTTTCAAGGCAAGGATTTGGGAACTCATTTCAGATTGTGCCTATTTTGCACTCAAGTTTGATTCTAGTGTAGAGTTGATTGGGTTTTTTGTGTGAAGGATCCAGTCATAATTTGGTGAAATTGTTGGAAGCTAATGAGGGATGCCTAACTCTTATCGAAATTGATATGAATTTTGGCCCATGTAAACTCAGAAATTTTGACGGTCAAAGTTCACAATATCTCTAATTCCATTTTACATTATGCTGAAATGAAGTTGAAGTTGCTGAATATGACTCACATAGATAAGTTTGTTTTTCAGAACAAGACAAAAAGACAAGGAAAACAAAATCGGAGATTGGTAGTGAACTGTGAAACAAAACGCAAAGATAAAATTTACCCAAACAATGTAAACGGAGATGGGTAGTCTTCCCCCCCTTTTTTTTTTGGTGGTGTCTGCAAGACATTATTATACTTGGCCTGTGGAATTAGACATTTTATTGTTTTTTTAAATTATTATTTATTACTATCTGTGAAATGTATGTTCATTACCCCTAGTAGTACTACTCACTGATATACCACTGATATATGGTTTCTATTTTCCAATCACAACCGTATTGATCTATAATTAATATACCGAATCTGTTTTCCAAGTGATGCTATATTCCAGTTAACAGGTTCTTTTACGTTCAACCCTCCAAATTTCTTCGATTTACAAATATCATCCCAGGCTACTAACACATAACTTCTACCATTCTCTTTTCTCCCCCCATAAAAATTCTCTTCAGATTCTAACAATTTGGACAATAATACTCTTAGGTAACATGAATACATATGCCCAATATGTATGTACTGAAAGCAAAACAGAATTTACCAGGGTAACTCTGGCAGCATACGAGATGTCTATTTGTTCAGCACTTTAACCTTACAGTAATTTTTTCTGTCAGAATTTTACAGTCAAGGTTTGTCCACTTAATTAAATTTCTAAACTTATGACATTACTATTGGGCTTCTATGTAGTTTAAAATTTGGAATTGTCCATTTTTATCATTTTTGTTAATGAATTTTACACTATTATCAATAAAAAAATATGGAATTTATTGAAAGTATTTAACTTTTGTTTAATAATTATATTGATTAATTTAACATAGTTTCGATTTTTTTTTTCTACATAAATTATCCGAAAAGTTTTTGACAAAATTAATTTTTTTCCTTTAATAATTTGTTAGAAAACTTTAAAAAGGGCGTCCTAGCTTAGGTGAAGTGTCCCTGTGCAAAGTTATGGCTTGAGAGGGATTATGGAAGGTTGATTGAGATGGTAAAGATGTGAGGTTTTTTTTTTTATTATTAAAAAAAAAAGACGAGATCATGAGAGGTTTCAACAACATTGATCCATGATGATGCACGCAAAGAAAAAAAAGATAATGATGAAAAAAAAAGAAAAACTCTTGTTTGAAAGGATTCACTATTATATATTGCATATATATAAGGGCACCCAATGCTTTTAGTCCCTAAAGTATTTTTCGGTTTAATTTTCGTCCCTAATGTTTTTCACACAAAGAAATTAGTCGTGATAGTTTTTTTTTTTTTTTTTCAAAATTGGTCCTATTGACCGGATCCGGCCACAATTCCGGTTAAATAGGATTTCTATAATTACAGATTTTCCCTAAAATGTTATAATTTTTCAATTTTACCCCAATTTTTTTTAAAAAATTCAATTGACCCCGATTTTAACTTTAGGATTTGATTTTTCAATTTCACCCTATTCATTTTTATTTATCCAAATCAAATTTTTCTTCTAAAAATATAAAATGTCCTACATTGTTTACCTTATTTTTCTCATATTTACCATGAACAATCTAATCTTAAATATTTATTAATTTATTATTTTCCTGAATTTTTTTTTCTATTGGCCGTATGCTAAACCAAAAACTAACTCTTCACCATTTACTCTGTTGGCCCATACAAAATTATAAAAATATAATTGGAAGAAAATAAATAAGTAAATATTTTAGGATTTGTTTGGGATAAAAGTGAGAGAGAATATGGTATATAATGTAATAATTTTATATTTTTGGAAGTAAGATTTGATTAGATTGCATATTTTATATTTCATATTTTTATACTTTTTTTGATTCCCCTGGCCTCATACTAAACCAAATTTCATATCTTTCACCATTTTACTCATGAAAATAAAAAATTAATAGAATAATAATTTAACTAAAAAATAAGTATAGAATAATTAAATAAATTTTAATAAATAATAATAAATTAAATAAATTTTTAAAGTAAAATTTACATTCACAATAATTTGTTCAAATTTCTTTTATGTTTTTCATTCTAAACATTTATTTTACCCGACTAACCACCTTTTCATTTTAGAAAAGTTTGTATTTCTGAATATTCATCTTTTAATATTTTATTTGACATTTTTACCTAAAAGTTTTTTTCCAAACCTTATTTTTGTTTATCTTATATATATATATATATATATTCAATATGTCAGACAAAATTAAAGCAGTGAGGATACTCAAAAAATAAAAATACCTTTGTTGTTTTGATTTTTTTTATGGACATAAAAAGAAAAACACATAAGGTAAATTAAATAGGGTTCTAATTTTTATAAGGTGGATATATGAAATAACTAGTAAAAAAATATGACAATGAAAATTTTAGAGTTTGAGAAAATGGTGCTTGGGAAGAAAGAATTGAACAGAAAAAAGGGAAAAAAATATAATTTTGCACGTTTTTTAAATTTTAACAATAATATCATAGAATATTTTATTAATTTAATATTCTTTATTATAATTATTTTATTATTTTAGAGATATTTTTTTATATTATTATTTAATTAATTTTAGAATTTTTTTGGAGATAATGTAGTGAAAATTGATAGTTGATTTAGTAATAGTGGTCGGATAAATAAATATTTTAGAATATTTTTTAGTTTTTTTATGGTAAATGTGATAGAGGATAGGATAAATAATATGGTAAATCTTACATTTTAGTATAGTAAGATTTGATTGTGATAAATAAAATTGAATAGAGTAAAATTGAAAAAGTGATATGCTAAAGTTAAAATTGGATTCAATTGATTTTTTTTTAAAAAAAATTGGGATAAAATTGAAAAATTATAAAATTTTGGGGAAAACCTATAATTATAAATATCATATTTCTCGGAATAGTGCCGGATCCGGCCAATAGGAGCAATTTTGAACAAAAAAAAACTATCAGGACTAATTTCTTCGTGTGAAAAATATTATGGACGAAAATTGAATCGAAAAATAGTTTAGAGATTAAAAACATCGGGCGCCCTATATAAAATGCTACAGCTAACTTTATTTTGGAAAAAAAATATATTGTACATAGTATGTACCACTACTCTCTTACTAAGTAGCAAGAGATTCTTCGAATTAATTTGGTTTATGATATTAATTTAGTCTACATATAAAGTATACTAATTGGATTAATGTACTAGTATTTTACTGGAAAAATAATCACAATAATTCACGCGTGTGAAGTCAAAATATGTCCAAATTGTGCGATTTTCATTTCTGTCCGAACGTTGAAAGTGATAGCCAACAAAGCTGGTAAACAATCAACAAAGAATGAACGACAACTCCATATACAACATTATATCAACTCAAAAACAGGGAGATTAATGAATTAATTTATCATGAAATATATCTTAAGGTAATTAATGAGACCGTCTTGATTTTGTTATTTTCTACTACTCTCTCTGTTCCAAAATTATTATCCAGTTTGAAATTACATTTTTAATACAAATTGAACTAAAAATGAAAATCCAAACTGGATAATGATTATGGGACGAAGGGCGTATTATTTTTTCCTTTTAAGAAAATGCTAACATTAACGTGGTTTCCTGCCTTTTTCGGGATCGACAAAAATAACCTGCAAGTCTCAGCTTCCTTTTCGACAGAAATAACCTGCAGCCTTATTAGGACCAGTAAAACAGACTTTTAACTTGTCCTACCCAAACAAACAAATGGCAAAACTTACTGCGTCCCGTTCCAGCATTAGCAAGCAGAGAGAGAGAGAGAGAGCACCAAAAAAAAGGAATAGTACATATACAAATTATTATATGTAATAATCAATGTAAATATTTCAAGACACTTGTGCAAATTAATATAGTAGTCGATACTGTTAAAATGTAAAAATGCTAAAAATTGAGAGCTCTTTCATCAATTTTTTTTTTTTTTTTTGGAGGGCTTGGACATTGGAATGGTTTAAAAAGAGCTTCAAATTATCAAAATCTACAACGTTTTCCAATGACTTGCCAACAAAAGAAACTGTGAAAAGTAAGAAATCATCAGAATCTGATAAAAGCAACACAAAATGCGTATTTTTTTTAATTTTATTTTTTAACCTATTTGAGGGCAGGAGATTTGCTGGGAAGACAACGGTAGTCGTCGGGAATCGCCGAATCCCAGTGCCGTAATAGTTTTTGTGGCAGGCGCACGTTGTTTTTGTTTTCTTGTTTCGTGAATATATCTGGATAATGCAGAATTTTGTATAACTTGTACTCCCTCTCACTAGCTACTAGCTGCCTTCCACGTGTTTCCATCATAATTTTTTTAGTTATACTCACTCTGTCCCAAAATTATTATTCAGTTTGAGATTTTATTTTAAGTATAACTAGTATGTGTCCCGCGCAAATCAATGTTGAAAATTTATCTTCTTAAAGAATTAATTAGATAATGTAGTTATTAATATTTCTTAAAACCGTAAATTTTTTTTGATTAATCAATTTTAGATCAAAATGAGAGGTATTGATATTATTTATGAGATGTATATTTGTAAGATCTGGCCAAAAATATTACAACAAAAATTTTGAAAAGTTGTATAATAAAAATTGTCACCACTAACTAAATGTTATGTTTGGATTAAAAAATATATTAAAAAATACATAAATTATGTCTAGATGCCTATGGCTTATTTATAGGCAATGGGACTTTAGGAATTAGACACAATTAATCGTCCTTGAAAATGTAAAATTGATAAAATTGAAGACAAAGTAGCACATAAATAGAACTTTAATGGCTAAAATGATAATAAGTTAAAAGTGATGCTTGATGGTCTCAATTAGCGACACGTGTCGATTATCTTTCTTTTCTTTAATATATATAATGATTTGAACTAGAAATGGAAACTCAAACTGACTAATAATTATGGGACGCAGGAAGTACTAATTTAGCTCCCCTTTTTGCTACTTCAGCCCCCCTGGACTATTTTGCCCTTCTCATTTACACAAACCCATCATGTGCTCTCATTTTCTCTCAACTCTCTAAATCCAAAAATCTCATTTCTTGACAATTTGAGAAGTTGAAAACTCATTTTCTAGCTAATTTTAGTTGACTATCTTTAAGATCTTTAAGTTCAGCTTCCCGTTGGATCAATGAGTGACGAAGAGGTATGTATTAATTGAGTTATAAGCGCTCAAAACAGGCGCCAACAAAGGGTCGATGGTATTTGAAAGAGAAACTGGTTAAGGCGCTCGAAAAAAACGCTTGTACCACAAAGGAGGTGCCCATTATCAAAATATTTGTGATAAGGTCGATATTAGCATAATATTTATGGTCCTTAATGTGTTATTTTGAGTAGTATCAATGTTAATATTGGTGTTTTGTGCTTAATTTGATCATAGGAAGTATTTTGGATGAAAATGATGAGTTTTTGTACTGTTTTTAGTATAAATTTAGAAACTCAATTGTGGACAATTTTTTTTTTTTTGGGACGGAGGTAGTATTATTCTATTGATGAGTTGATGCTCCAGGTTTAGCATGACTTGTGCCATAAGTCAAATTAATTAACTCCAAAGAATTTGGATTGTCTACTGCTACTGTATGACAAATTAAACCCATTAATTTAATGCTCCCAGATTAATTTAATATAATACTACTAAGATAAGATTACTATTGGCAATAAAGTAACGCTGAAAACAAAAAAATTTGCTCAATCGTATGGGCCATAGTGATTTGTATAATAGTAATGTGTAGTAATCATATGTTTTAATCTCACGTGTACGAGGAGAGTATACACACAAACAACACATATATTCAATTTCGATGCAATGATTCTCATCTGATACGACAGCCATATATAGAAAAGTGGGATAACCTTTTGTTTTAATCTTTTTTCCTAATTAGGCCAAAATCTCTTTTTTTGGTGGTCCATCTGTAAGTGCGAATTGCGGCTCAGAAAGGGACTCTCTCTCTCTCTCTCTCCTCCCTTTTTTCTTGGGGATCAGGTCACACCTTTTTTCCTTTCCCAAGCACTAATTTTCCTGTTTTGTCTCCTAATATAGTGCTCTCTCCATTTCAAAAAAAGTGTCGTCTTACACTTTACACATAATTTAAGAAATTCTTAAATAGAGTAATAAAATTACTTGAATATCCTTAACCAACCCCATTATAAAATTGTCCACCAATAACAAACTCTTTTAAAGATAATTTTAAAAACTTTTGACAAAAAGTGCATTGAAATGTGAAAACGACATTTATTTTAGAATTTCTCCATTTTACTAAAACGATACTTATTTTGGAATAGAGGGAGTAGGACTTTCTTTACCAAACCCCCCTTCCCCCTATTTGCCTGCAGCCTGGAGTTAGTGGGGCCCAACTACAAAAAAAGCATTTTTTGTCCAAATCCCCGCGTTGCAGTTGTTTTAAGTTTGTTGTTTTGTTGTGAAGTCATATAATTATTACTCCCTATCTGCTAGTCTAGTCCCCTGCTTGCTTCCACCTGTTCCCACCATCAAATTAATTTCTTTTTGTTTTCATCCCTAATAAAATGCAATAATATCATTCAATTCAATAGTAGTGCTTGCTTTTCCACACCAATCAAACCAATCAAATTCCAGGTCAATTTTTAAACCCTTAACTTTAAGAGAGACAAAAAATAGATGGGCCTGTATACAAAGATAAACAAATAAAATAAATAATAATTTCACATGGAATTTTAAGATCATATTGTTTTGTTTTTATTGCAACATTTTTTCTTTCTTCTCGTTGGTTTTTTTTTTTTTTTTGGTGGTAAATATAATGTCATGAACCGTAAAATTGCAATTCCATTAGCCTATGACGTGTTTCGCTAGTTTCACATGTTTAACAATTCACCTATTTTTTTTTTTTTATTCAAAAAGCAACCAAAAAAAAATTACACTTTACCAATGTTGCCTGAAAGCCCAAAACAAGGAAACGCCGAGGGAAATAAATATCAAAATGACCGACCCAATATGGAGGGACCATCTAATACAAATGCCAAGTTTCTGGGCCTCTGTGATGACAACGGGGACTAGAACGAAACTGAAGGGCTGTCCATTGAGAAAGCAGTAGGATATTTTTTAGACCTTCCTGAAGCAATTTTTTAGACCCTTCCTCAAGCAATTTCCTAGGAGCAGGGGGATGCGCTCACTGTTGCGGTGGACTTGTGGTTGCTGTTCATTTTGTTATAATTCTCTCAACTCAAAATAGCGCAGCCATCAAGGCGACTCTGTTGGTATCACTCGCGTGGGGTCCCCATTTCATTCAACAGGAGAAGAGATGATGTTGTATTTCAGGAGAGTACTTCAAAATTCAAATACGACTAATAATCTACTAGTATACTATTATTTCAATGTGTTTATTTATGTCAAATACCAACAAAATAACAAATAACATCCTCCCAGAATATTCTAAACCAAATAGAAACAGCTCAATTCGGCTTTGACAGTAATTCACAAAAAAGACATCTCCCCCAAGGCCAAAAAATAAAAAATAAAAATTTCTATCATCTGTTGTATCACAATCTCTATAACCCGTGTATTCAAGATGTATCTCATTAAAAAAAAAATAAAATAAGAACTAGGTATTACGCATACAATTTAGTGTCCAAAACTACCGATCAATTATCAACCTTGCATGTTTATATATCAGGATTCGAACTCTAGTTATAGTCAAGTTGGTCAAAATATCTTTACCACCTAAATCAAAATTTAGCACATAATTTATAATATGGATTATTTTTTTCGGAGAAAGAGAAGTACGCTAATTAGAATGAGCAGATTATTGTTTCCGACTATCAGCCTAAGTTGCAAAGTCATAGTACTAAATACAAACATCACCACGACCAAGTATTCAACTTCAACTTTTTTTTTTTGGTGTCTGCTGATTCTTAAAAGTTTGCTTGGCCATAGACATATTACCTGATGGGTTGGTACCGGAACAATGGTTCCCTTGGCTTCGAGGACTTTCATGGTGAGGTCTTCAAGCTGAGATTCTATATCCGCCGCAGACTTTGGGCCATTCATCTTAGATGGCTTTTCTTCTGGTTTGCGAAACTTGAGCATGCGGTGGCTAATCAGCTGCTCAGTATCCATTTTTTTTTTTAACTTCCTGCAGTATTCACATTAAATAAACTACTAGTTATTTGTCCATATTGGGAATTTTTTATTTTCTAGTTTTTCACATTTCCTAACTACACTAAACAGGGTGACAATTTTGGAACATTGCCATTGTGCATTTGCTCAACAAAAGGCAGAAGAACCTATTGTTGGGAAGAAGCCTTGAATTTGTTGCAAGTAAAGAGAGGTGACAATGCAGCTTGAATAAGAATTAATTTACATTGAAAATCTCAAAATACTATACCTTCAGAGCCATTTCAATTGCGCGTTCAATGAGCCCCGGAATGAGGTTCCTCGAGGCAGTGATAGCAAAAAGATTAATCAACCCGTTGTCCATGACAAAAACTATGGAATCGTTTCTTACTTCTTTGGAATAGTAAAAGACTGCATGTTGATCTCCCTTTATTTAATCTTTGAAGACTTTCTCTACATGTAGTATTTCCACAAGTATTGATTCGTTCAATTAAAGTTACAAAATGTATTAAAATTGGTTGACAATATATTTTATGTTATTAGGGAAGAACATTAATTAATTTTTTTTAATACTCTTTACGCAGGTCCTAGAAAAAGAGATTTGTATGAACTCTACTTAGTTTGGAACTGAAGAAGTATATTTCACATCAGTCTCTTATTCCCCATCTCCAATCATTATTCTGCTTCCACATTTTCCATTCTCATCCATTAGAGTGAATGAAGTAACCAAATTAGGTATAAAAGCCTAATTAATTTTTAATCTCATAACGTGTACGTAACTACAATATTATAATAATCAAAGCTGTACCCTGCGAGCTCCAACTTTATTGGCCATGACTTCTCTCCATCAACCATGGTTGCTTCCTTTTCTTCACTTTCTGATCATATGCTTTTCATCCATTTCTGTTTCCCATTCATCTTCTTTTCTCAATACAAAACAACCCAATAAACTCCCAAGGCTAGGGATAATCAATCGTTATGACACTAGTTTCACCAATTCCAAAGGACGTTCCTTTTCTTTGTCTGCTTCATCATCATCATCATCATCATCATCGGATGAAGATTTCAAACCATATTTTTATGACCAAACTCTGGACCACTTCAATTATAACCCCGAAAGTTACACCAGGTTCAAGCAATATTTTGTGATCAATTCCAAGTACTGGGGTGGTGCTAATTCCAGCGCACCGATTCTCGCTTACCTCGGTGCCGAAGCCGCCCTTGATGGTGACATAGGCGCCATTGGATTTCTCACGGATAATGCTCCTCGGTTTAAAGCTCTTCAGGTCTACATTGAGGTAATTTACAACGCCCCAAAATGATTTTTAAGTTTGAACTTTGATTTTTAGTACAATTTGAATTAATAATCAGAATCCAAACCGGACCATTATTTCTAGACGAAGGAAGTATTTACTTCAATCTTCTTTTTTTTTTTTTTGACGAAATTGAACTACAATATTCATCTTTTGTTGTACAACTCCAGCATAGGTTTTATGGGAAATCAAATCCTTTGGGTTCGATGAACAAGTCTGTGACAAATGAAGATATTCGGGGTTACTTTAACTCCGCTCAAGCTCTAGCTGATTATGCAGAGATTTTGTTGCATGTGAGGGAAAAATTGTCTGCTCATAATTCTCCGATTATTGTCGCCGGGGGATCATATGGTGGAAGTATGTATGTCCATGAGGATTAATCAAAATAGATTATTTATTGTACGTGCTAAAATTAGTACACTCATTAATGTGATTTATTGGTTGATGATGCAGTGCTGGCTTCATGGTTTCGACTCAAGTATCCTCATGTTGCACTAGGAGCTTTTGCGTCATCGGCTCCAGTTCTTTATTTTGATGACATCACTCCACAAAATGGATATTACTCCAAAGTGACGGAAGATTTCAAAGTAATTGTTGTTGTCATTTATTTATTTATTGATTAATTTAGCTAACAGATATAGAATCTTTTTTGTCTATTATATAATAAATCTGATAGAGAGACAATTAATAAAGGAGGCCAGCGAGAACTGTTACCAAACTGTACGAGATTCTTGGTCTACGATTGACGAAGTTGCTTCCAAACCTAAGGGCCTTACCATTCTCAGTGAAAAATTCAGGAGTTGCAAGTACGCTTTCGTTTTCCTTTTTCCTTATTATAAGACATTTTGATTTCGAAATAGATTTCATCTAAGATGTCTTTTTAATTGAAATAAACACCTTAAAAATAAATCATAATATTTAGAATAATACAACGAATGCGAAAATATATTTTTAAAGATTTTTTTCTAATTAAAAATACATCCTAAGTTAACCTAGAACGAAATCAAAATGTCTTGTAATAAGGATCGGAGGGAGTATTTGATTTTTTGTCATGTTGCATTTTACGTATTGCACCGTCCCATTTTGGTAGTTCTTTGCTAATTTAAACGTTACACCTCTGGGAGAATATGTAATATTATGACCAGAAAATATGTATATTTTGGACAGCTTTAAGCTTGACTAAATTGGGAGTGAGGTTTACTGAAAGTGACTTAAAACCTTGCGATGTCCCCATTTGCCTTTGCGTCTGTTACACATTTTACATTTTCTAGATAATCCAGCTTGTATATTCCTCCACGTACATAATTCTACTGCCTCATATTAATGGGAAACAAGCCAAAATGAATTCCAAATGGAGCTAAGCTGCTTCTTTCCGTGTAGCTAATGATGTTTCACTTGATTTCACTCAATTCCATCACATAATAATAATAATAATAATAATAATAATAATAATAATAATAATAATAATAATAATAATAATAAGCCAATACCAATTGTACAGTTAATGTAATGGAACATATAATAGCTGTGTGTTTTATCGAATTTATCACAATTGTTAGATGATACGTAAAATGCATGTATCACAAGTCCAATTTTGATAATGCAAAATTAATAAATGAATTTCTTTTCTTAATTATATATGGAGGGCTAAGAATAAAATTGATAATGGTGTCTTCTGTACAATTTTTTGTTTTTCTCAGGCATTTGAATAGTTCTTCGGATTTGAAAGACTATTTGGACACAATGTATGCAAGCGTTGCTCAATATAACGCACCCCCTGCGTATCCCGTCACTCAGTTCTGCAAAGGTGTTGATGAAGCAGCTGCCAACGGGAGTGATGTTCTTGATCGGATTTTCGCTGGAATTGTTGCTCTCAGCGGTCATGGACGATGCTACACTTATGACCTTGATCCCTATCCATCTGAAACCTTACTTGGATGGAGTTGGCAAGTAAGTGACTAGTGATAACGAGATCGATCGATCCTCTAGTTTAAGTTTTGTGTACAAACTGTATTTCATTTTTTAGACGATCTTAATTAATTTACAATAAATAATTTTTCATCTTAACCAGTACATAAAATTCGATATGAATTATTTGTTCAGTAAATTTCAGACATGCAGTGAAATGGTGATGCCTATTGGTCGGGGTAGCAACGATACCATGTTTCCAGCTGCTCCTTTTGATTTAAAAAATTTCAGTGAGAGTTGCAAAAATGCATATGGAGTCTTACCTCGACCTCATTGGATCACTACTTACTATGGAGGCGCTGTACGGTTTTATGATCTTCCTCTTTTATGCATTAATTCTTATGGAATCTTAAATTAATTAATTTCCAATCATATGGTTTGGTGATTTTTTTTTTTTCCTTCAAACGAATTTATTCAATTGCTTTCAGGATATCAAGTTGATTCTTAAAAAATTTGGAAGCAACATTATATTCTCCAATGGCTTGAGAGATCCTTATAGTACCGGCGGGTAATTAACTAACTAATAATCTTTGACCATTTGTTTGCACTATTTACGAGCATATTTTGGGGCATTTTTAAGATTAACCTATCTTAACTATACATACTATTTCTTAATCACAGAGTTTTGGAGAACTTGTCAGAGAGTCTTTTAGCTGTCTACACGAAACACGGTTAGGTTTCTCTTGTTAATTATTTTGAACCTTTTTCTATATACTGTACAGGATGTTGCAATTAACTAATGTCATTTTTTTTTTCTTTTGTGTTAATTTAGTTTTTCTCATTGTGATGGAAATCTTGATAATCATTTGGTTTAATTTTAGGTTCACATTGCTTGGACATACTGGGAGCTAGTAAAGATGATCCGGCATGGTTGGTTGCTCAAAGAAAAATTGAGGTTGAGATAATTGAAGGCTGGATCAAATCCTATTACGCTAACCTTGCCTTAATATCTTAGAAGGAAGAGATGCTGTCTACCTCGCTTTTGATTTTCTCACCATTAAATGTTACATTTCATATTCATTGTTTAGGAATACTTTTCCATAGAATTTTCTAGGAAAGACATACTAAACTCTAGTCCGTATTATCATCAGTTAGTTTTAATTTGATAGCTAGCAAGTAGGTTTATTTCAATTTTTATCATTATTCTTTTACAAAAGTCACTATGCACGAGTGACTTAGAGCATCTTCAGTGTTGAAGCAATTTGCTGCACACCAAATTATCAAAATTGTTATTTTGATATAGTTAATCTCCAACCCTCAACTCTATTTTATGCAGCAAATCACCCAATAAACCCTCCCACCCAAAAAAAAGAAAAGTCAAAGAAAGGTAAAAGAAACAACGTTAATGGGACACCCTATTTGTTGCATCTACAGTATAGCAGCAAATTTGGTGATCTACTGTAGCAAAAGCAGCACTTTGCTATTTGTTTTTGCTATTTTGTTGCTACATTAGAACAGAAATACATCAAATTCTCCAGCAATTTGCTGAATTGGTGCAAGGTAATTGATTCCAATAATGTTTTGCCAAAATCACACTGTTTAACCCTCTTTTGGGAGGAAATCGGCATGGACCCATGATGCACCATGATGAAAGCCATTTAATTTAATCAATATTTTTGGACTTTCTAGATGCAGGAGGTTTTTTTTTTTTTGTTTTCCCATTTTTAATTTTTAATTTTTTGAAATTCATGATAGTTTGGTTCGGATATAAGAGAGCTATTAATCCGTTTATGAGTGAGGGATGTTATATACGAATTTCAAGAAATTAATTTTATGACATGAGATATTACTAGGTTTCTTTAGTGGCTCATCTCCTAGTTAATCGCGAGAGTTTAGGTTATGACTCGAGGTGTTTGCCCCAACCACTTTGTTAAAACATTTGATAGTCAGGGGTTAAAAGATTCCATTTGATCAAAGGTTGAAAACGTAACATCATAATTAATCGAAAACATGACTAAATTGACGAGTCGACGCATGGAATAAAATAAATCTCATTCTATCAAGTATGAGAAAGCTCCCAAAGGCTATCTATTTCCATTTTTTTTTTTTTGGGAAAATTTATCTGTTGAGTATATATAGACCTCAATTAATGAACATCTAAACGAATGAGGCATTCTTTGGTTTGGCGAGGGCAAGATCAGCATAGTAAGAATTGATCCATGATTCAATGATCTCAATCTCAACTTTCCTTTGAGCAACCAACCACGCCGGATCAGTTTTTGCAGCCGACAATATGTCCAAGCAATGTGATCCTGTTGAACATAAATAAATTGATAACCTAAAATTAATATTTCCATAATTCGAAAAAATGATTATAAGACAATTACGTACTAATCACATTTCAAAAAGATAAATATGCTAGTTGTGATTGCGATATATGATGTTTCTTGTCCATTTATGAAGTTTCGGATACGCAATAAATAAATTAGCGTATCAACTGACCTTTTTTGGTGTAGACAGCAACAAGATTTGTAGACAAGTTCTCCAAGACTCTGTGGTTGGAAACAACATATTCTTGACAATAAGACATCCTCAAACTTGCGTAAGGGCAGAAGAAAAGGGGGAAAAAAGTTATGTGAATAATTGGTTACCCGCCAGTACTATAAGGGTCCCTCAAGCCATTGGAGAAAATGATGTTGCTCCCAAATCTTTTAAGAATCAGTTTGATATCCTGCATTTGAATTTCTGTATGAGATTAATAAACAATGCATTGCTGACGAAAAAAAAAACTCAGGCATTGATATGAATTACTTCCTCGGTTCCTATTTATAAGAGGTTTTAGACATACTTTCTTCGTATCTTTTTATAAGAAGTTTTACATTTACAGAAAAGCATTTAATGACTTTTTTTTTTCTTTACCCTCACAATTAACCAATTTGAATATTAGTTCAACTACTTCATTAATGTTATCATGGACAATTTGAAAAGTTTGCAACAATTTTGAGACTAAAAAAACTAAATTTTGTTAATTTTATTTATTTGTCTAAAGTTAGTTAACTCCACCTTATAAATAGGAATGGAGATAGTAAATGATATTATTTAATAAATAAGGTATTAAACAATATCTTATTTTTGAATAATTTTTTGCAAGTGAAAATCAAACAAATTCTCAATACAACCATATATATACACATTATGATAATCCGATTTTTAACCATTCCACTCGAAAAGCTTCGCTTTGTATTTTTTTTAATTGAAACAATCAATAACACTTAAAATTAAGTGATAGTAATGGATAGAACATACATGGCCTCCATAATAAGTAGTGATCCAATGAGGTCGAGGTGAAACTCCATAAGTACTCTTGCAACTCTCCATAAAATCTTTTAAAATGAAAGGAGCAGCTGGAAACATCGTATCATTACTCCCCCGACCAATGGGCATCACCATTTCACTGCATGTCTGAGACCATAATATATTAATTGGTACACCCATAAATATTATGATTATTAGGCGAAACAAAAAGAAAAAAGAAATAAAAATTCAAGTGTGTTAATGAACATTAATAATTCGTACTTGCCAAGCATATCCTATATTTGTTTCGGTGGGATATGAAAATCGGCTTGTATCGTAGCATGAAAGGTTGCCGTAAAGAGAAACAAGTCCGGCAAAAATCCGATCGAGAACACCACTTCCGTCGGGTGATTTGTCAGCCCCTTTACAGAACTGAGTGACTGGATATCTCGGCGGTGCATTATATTGAGCAGCACTTGCGTAGGTTGAGTCCAAGAAATCCTTCAGCTCCGATGACTTATTCAATCGCCTGCACATCATTAAGTTCATGAATAGGTTTATAAATCATTATTCAATTTAGTATACGCGCATGTTCTACTTATATAGTTTGTTTCTTACTTGTGGTCCGTACTAAAATGATTGTTTTGGAATAAAAATAGTATACTTTATGCTGTATATAGTTTACACCAGAAGATCAAATTTAAAAGGTCATTTTGAGAACATCAGATAAAATTGAATCGATACAGAAGCTCAAAAAGGAAGTGCCCTTTTCAACTCATTGTAGGATCATTTTTTCCCATGGAAATTATAGGCTTGATCCACGCTTTTCTCAACCCAAAAACGTAGTCTTAATTAATTATCAAAATCATATATAAGAATTAGATTAACTAGGGGTCTCAATCATGATTCATCATCATTCATGCTTCCTCAAATGTAGATAGTATTTCAATGTCCTGTACCCTTCTCCTTAATATCATAATGTAGCATCATGATCAATGAAAAAGAAAAAAAAGCTAGCGCTAAAAAGTAGAGACAATTGACAATAATAGCAAGGAAGAGGAGATGATTTACGCGCAAGTCTTGAACTTTTGGCTGAGAAAAGTGAGACCGTTGGGTTTCGAAGCAACTTTGTCAATCATAGACCATGACTCCCGTATCGTCTGGTAACAGTGAGAACTCACTCCCTGTCATTACCGTCGCCAAATAATTAATAAAAAATTAAAAAAGAAAGTTAAAAAATATTTTTTTCCCATGCCTTTTCATTAGATTTATTGAAATGAACTGATTATTAGCTAAAGTAAAGAAATAAGTAAAGAATTTGATGTAGCAATAATACTTGAAAGTCCTGCGTGACTCTAGAATAATATCCGTTTTGTGGAGTAATGTCATCAAAGTAGAGAATCGGAGCTGAGGAGGCTAAAGCACCAAGAGCGATGTGTGGATATTTGAGCCTAAACCATGACGCAAGCACTGCAACACATATATTGAAGACACAAAAGTTTAGACAAAGAAAACAAAACGACGATAGTCTATATAGAAGCCCGCGGGATTTGCTTAATACAAGTCATTCCATTCTCTAAGTATTTACATGTACACATACCAATTAAGCATACACTTACAGTACATAATAATTTGGTACGTAGTAGTTCAAAGGACGTGTGATATTATTATGAACAAGTTAAAATATATTATCAAAAACACATTCTTTAAAGTGAAACCTAATTGACAAGCAATTACAAAAGTTAACTACTCCACTTGGTAATTGGTAAAATATATAGATACTCAGTGGTTAAAAGTGTATATAAATATACTGATCCATCTTACGTACTTCCTCCATAAGATCCACCAATGACGATAATTGGAGAATGATGTGCTGATAGTTTTTCTGTCAAATACAACAAAATCTCAGCATAATCAGCTAATGCTTGAGCTGAGTTGAAATAGCCTCGAATATCCTTGTTTCCCAGCGATTTTTCCATTGTTCCAAGCGGATTTGATTTTCCATAAAACCGATGCTGAGAACAAAGAATTAATTCAAAATCTTGTAAGCTACAAATTTTTAGAAAATAATCTAATTAAGGAAGATCACAGTGGGGATCGAGTAGGGAAATGGAAAAAATAGCTATAATGGGATGAAACAGTATTCATACCTCGATATAGACAAGAAGGGCTTTAAACCGAGGGGCATTATCCTTGAGAAAACCGATTACCGGAATATCTCCATCAAGAGAGGATTCCTCACCCAGGTATGCCAAAATTGGTGAGTTAGAATCTGCACCACCCCAATACTTGGAATTGATAACATAATATTGCTTGAATTTTGAGTAACTCCTTGGGTTATAATTGAAGTGGTCTAGAGTTTGTTCATAGAAATGGGGCTCAAACTCTTTCGGTAGAGATTGTTTAGGAGCACTGGCTGCTGGTTGATTACCATGGCGTTGAACTATTCCGAGCTTTGGAATTTTATGAAATTGGGTGGCGGAGGAGCTGGAGATTATACTTGATGAGAAGTATATGAGAACGATGGAACATGCCGGCAGCCATTGATGTTGGAAATAAGTTGATGCACAAAGCATTGGGACTAGACTTTAATTGTATGATGGCGCAAAGTTTTTCCCCCTTTTTTTTTTTCTATTGAACTTTTCGTTTTATCTCCAAAGATAGATATGAATATATAGAGAGAGAATCATTCCAGAACAAAAAAAAAAAAGAAAGTATGGTTTCATCCATCCTAAAATAATACCTTTCTTTGTTACACCGTTTTAATCAATAAAAGAAACTTTTTTTTTTCCCTTTTGGGGGAGGAAGAGATATGCTTTATGAATTATTATACATTTAGGTTGTTGTTAAAGTATTATTTTGGACAAAGAATTTTACATCGTCCGTGTAAAGAATTTGAGACCTGTTTATAAACTTTTTATATCATCCCAATCATTACAAATTAATTTTGAGATACTCACTTAGAGGTTCTATTGATAACGAACTTCTAGATATTCAGATTAGGTTGGAAAGTGGTTTCGGGCACTATACTCAAATTTTATGCTATTAGGTAATTAAACGAAAGTGAAAACATCTAAAATGCAACAAGGGTTAGCCTTCTAACCATATTATTATTTCTTTGACCCAGGTATGGCGGCAAGGGAATTAAACACATTAATTTTCATATTATTTGTTGCGAAGGAAACAAAGGGTATCATACATGCTAGAATGAGATTATAGGACGAACGTGATAAAACAACGCAAGATTAAAGCAAATCAAAGTTAAGATCAATCACCACATTAAATAATAAAACCCAAGTGCTCATATGTACATGACATTTTCTAATGCTTCTAGAAAAGAGATTAAGTATTCTTACCGTCTCAAAAACATAGTTCATGTTAGTGTCATTTATAATTTGTTTATTTTTGTAAAACAAATGGAATATCATTTGCTTGGTTTCTTTAGTATCTGAGTCAAGGTACTGACTACGAATAATCAAATAGTGAGTAAGCAAAAATGTGACGAGATTTTATTAGAATTTGTAGCCAATCAAGGTTCTGTTCTGTGGATCATTCGATTTTTCTCAGACCTGTCACGGCTGACGATCAAAAAGCCCTGGTTTTTACGTCACGCTGCACAAAACAAAAACGATCAAAAGGTGAATTTTGTGACCACTTTTGATTCACAAAAAAAAGTAAAATTAATTTGCACGGCACTTGTGATTTTCGATGATCCCTTCATTTTCAAGGCTTGATGCAAATATCGCAGCTAGCCACACCGCGCCACTATCCATCCATATAGAACTGATAAGGGTTCGAGAAAATTTTACTATTTCAAAGTAATTTAAAATCCTAGCAAGTTAAACCACGAGTTATCCGATTAAAGTATTTAGTAAAACAATTTTTCTTCTTGATAGAAACTTACTTGTTTTGAATTTGGTTAAGATATAATAGCTTCGAACAGATGCATAATAAATGCAATATATATATATATATATATAGCATTTTTTTGACAAGGAAAGCAACTACATAAAATTTCTAATAAGAAAATAAAAATTCCCAAAATATAATATTTCTGAGGCAATGCCTTTCAGTCCACGGTCCAACTCTGGGTGGGGAAAGAAGATATTCCTTTCTGGTCCACGGCCTTGAAATATAACTCGAGGGACACATGATATCCACATACTAGTATAGACCACAAAGACTAGCACGCTTTGCCTTTTTATTTCTAGAAGAAGAAACTTTAATTTGACACAAATTGATATATTCTCTGTCCCAAAATTATTGTCCAGTTTCATATTTTACTTTTAGTGCAATTTGAACTAAAAATGAAAACTCAAACTGGACAATAATTTTGGGACGGAAAGAGCATATACGATATTGTTTCTTTGTTGGAAAAAAAAAGGGCGTGTAACAAGAAATATTGGACAAAAGCGATACGCATGATAATTAAATGAAAAATGCCGAAGAATTTTAGGCATTCTTCTAAAATTGACCCCCTACACATTGTTGCGTGACTTGTGTCAACCTTTTCTGGATTCAAGCTATACTTCTAGATTTTCTCTATCTGAATAATATGCTTTCAGTACTTTTTCCTGATGAGCTAATTAATTGAGATGAGCATAATAGTTTGCAAACCATTTCTCCATGATTTGAACCTCTTCCTTTCTTTGCTTGTTCAGCCATGGAGCATCGACTTTGCTTGCTAGATATAAATCCAAGCAATGTGACCCTATCCAAAAAAAAGAAAAAACAAAACAAAAAGAAAACCTTGCCACTTGTTAATTAAAAAGATCAACAAAATTATCTTTAGTTAAGTTAATTAGAAAAATACTAACCTTCTGCTGTATAAACGGCAAGGAGACTATCTGATAAGTTCTCTAGAATCCTATAATTGTAAAAACGAAAATGTGGGGAAAAAAAACACAAAATGGATGGTATTTAAAGACCATCACTACGGTCAGTAATTTTTTAAGTAAAAAAAAAAAAGAAAAAAAGAAAAAGAAGAAGAAGAAACATTTATACTTAGTTGGTTACCGGCATGACTCCATGGATCACGTAAACCATTGGAGAAAATTATGTTGCTCCCAAATTTGCGCAGAACCTTTTTTATGTCCTGCATGCATTGTTAAATACAATTAAGTTCCTACATTTTTTTCACTCAGTAATTTGGTTTATCACTAGTTTATACTCTTGGTACAAAACTGAGGTTCTGTCTGTGGTTAGAATAATTGAGAAAGTAGGTCAACAAACAAAACATTTTTTTTGCCTATGAAGGTGAAGGATGTGAAACGTACATGACCGACATTATAGGTAGTAATCCAATGAGGCAGAGTGACGACACCATAATGTTTCTTACATTGTTTGCTTCTTTCTTCCATGCTGAATGGCTTTTCTCGTACAATGCTGATATTTTCACTTCCCCCCTTTTGTAATACAATCTCACTGCACGTCTAAGCACAAAGAACCACACACAAAAAAAAAAAAAAATCATTATCACAAAACATACTAACATATACTGCCTAATCAAAAAATTCAATGTGGATTATTTTCTTGAAATAGAGATAATAATATTTGTTTTTTAATAATTCGTAATCTTGTAACTTGTCCTTTTTCTCAGTGTAGCAAACCAACTTCTAATTTTATTTTTTATTTTCTTAAAAACAAATTAGCACAGTAGATAAACAAATAAAACGAGTTTTTTTTTTTTTAAAAAAATAAGCTTAGCTGCCACTAGTATAATACTCTCTATGTCCAAAAAAATAAAATAATTTACATTAAATGTTGAAATTCGTAATAAAACAGTGCAAATTTGTGAACAGAGACAGTGGTTAAAAGAAAAGAACGCGACACTTACTTACCAATCCCAGCTGGAAGTGACATAATCAGAGAAACCTCTGATAGGATAGCAATTCCCGTTTCCGCCATAATAAGATTGGATACCAGCCAAGATCCACCCAAAACATCCGTACCATCGGGTGCTCCATTAATGGCGTCACACACGGTCTTGACTAGATAGATATCTCGGAGGGAAGCTATATTGTGCCGCCGAAAAATAAAGGTCGCCGATGAATACCGACAAGTCATTCACACTCTTCAATCGCCTATTTTTACAAAGCTCTCATTTTGTTAGCTCCCTAAAATTTTAAGGTGGTAAGAAATTGTAACTGCAAGACTTAAATACGAGAGACTTGTTCAAAAAAATGAAAAAAAAAATAAAAATCCCGACATAGAAAATTTGTTGTATTTTTGTTCTTTCGAACTAGTAAATAATTGATTGGAACTTACGAGCAAGAATTGAACTTCCGGATAGGGGCAGAATTCTTTAGGGGCTCGGGGGATACCGAGCACCCCGGTCGGGGCGGAGAGCCCCTTAGGAATAGTCACCGTTTAGCTTAAGTCATTTATATTTGACCATTTATCTGATCATGACAATGTAATTAGCCCCTCTAAATTCTGATAATTGGTTCCGCCAGTGGATTCCGGGTGAGGATGGCGAGGCCATTGGGCTCGGAAGCCATCTTCTAGATATATCCCACGATTTTTCAATTGTTTTGAAGCAACTTTTGCTTTGCTCCTGACAAAAAACAAACGTTCTTCTCATTAGAAACTTTGTGAATACCACCTTCTCATAGTTTTTTTTTTTAAAAAAAAAAATCTGTGACTTCTTAATCAGGATCGGAGGGAGCTAAATTATGATTTTGAATCACAGTTAACAAGTTAACTTGTACCTTAAAATCCTTCTGGACAACAGAGTAGTAAGCATCATGTGGAATGAGATCCTCAAAATAAAGAATGGGTGCTGAAATGGCTAATGTCCCCATTGCAATATGCGGATGCTTTAGTCGAAACCATGCCGCCAACACTGCAGAATCAACTAGAATGGATGAAATTTTTTTTCACAAAAGGTATCATTATAACGCGATCCACACAACATTACTTCTTGACAATACTGAAACAATATTGAGAGAATATAATTGTGTACAGCCGATCATTGATATAATTAATTACTCTTTCGTCCTAAAATTTTGAGACAGAGAAAGTATCACTTACCAGGAAAAAAAAATGATGCTCGTTTAGAACACCTCATGTGTTAAGAAAAAAACAAAAGAAGAAAGTAAAGTCTTTATTTAAGAAATGGAAAAATAAAATAATGATGAGACACATACTTCCACCATATGATCCGCCAACGACAAAAATTGGAGACTTTGGAGCACACAATGTTTCCTTTACATGTCGAAGAATTTCAGCATAATCAGCCAATGCTTGCTCTGAGTTTAAATACCCTCTTATGCTCTCATTCTTCAACATTGCTTCTTCCGTTGGTCCAAAAGGAATGGATTCCCCATAGAACCGATGTTGTTTAAAATTAACAAAATTGTTTTAGGAAAGTTAATTATAAGGATAAGACCATTCTGTGTGGGTATATTATATATATTCCATCCGTTTCAAAATTATTGTCCAGATATATGATACCTAATTCAATAAATGTTGGACTTTTTTTTTTCTTGGTACGATGAAAGAGGCACAAAGCCTAAAATCAATTTAGCACACATCATGAGGATATGCAACTCCAATGGTATGAAACACTTATATTTATAATAGTTGAACATGCATAAGCACTATTAATCTCGTGTCACTGGTCGATTACCAAACAACAAACTAAATTTTTTCCTAAAAAAATGGTTAAGGAAGAATTACCTCAATGTAGACTAAGAGGGCTTTAAACCGAGGACCATTATCTGGGAGGGCTCCGACGACACCAATAACAGAAGCAAGAGATGATTCGGCACCAAGATACGCTAATATTGGGGAGCTTGAATTTGCGCCGCCCCAATATTTAGAGTTGATCACATATTTTTGCTTGAAAGTGGCGTAGCTTTGTGGCTGATAGTTGAAGTGATCCAATGTCTGCTCATAGTATTTGGTCTCAAAATCACTCCCCGAGCCTACAGATGACAAAAAAATGTCTTTAGAATTAGGATCTCGTGGAGAGAGTCTTGAAGTCTTTTGCAGCATTGCGGAATTGATAACAGTTGGGAAGAGTAGAATTATTAACATCAGAAACAGCCATTAATTGGAAGATAAATTCGAGATGCCTCAACATGGTATATATCTGCAATAACGCAATTTGAATTTGTATCAAAGCTTCATGTTATTTATACTTTTGTTCTCAAATCCCTTGAAGATGCTTAGATTAATATATCATCTGTCCCAGAAAAATAATCCGTATCAATCAATTTAATAATTTTCATCAGCGATAAAATAACTTTTCAGAAAATTGAGCTGGCCGCTTGACTTCTTCTGATTGTCGAGATCCATGAAATCCCACCGCCTAAAATAAGTACAATTATTGAAAACAATATCATTTTTATTAACTTCTTTTTCTTTTTTATTAGACACATCTATTATTTTAATTATTTTATCACGAATATCATGATCTGGTATTTATTTTAGTAGTTCTAAAACATTATCAGTTGTTAACATGTTAAATTATAAATCTTGAAATTGAGATATAATATTGTAAAGATTATTATCTTTTTTACAACAATCATTAGCCAACAACATCATAGTAATGAGACAACAAACAAAGTTGTACGTACTAATTCAAATCAATCAATCCAGAAAAAGGAAACAACAAACTTTCTTTCTTGCTTCTTTAGCATTTGACCGCATCTAATGAGTAAATTTCGTATGAGTTTACTGGAAACTTGTTGCCATATTCATACCTTTATTGATGAGCTAAAATGAGTAAAAATTGCTCAAACCAGCTAGTAATTAAGCCTAGTATAATTAATTAAAGTAACAATAATTTTTACTTGTAATGTGTAGGATATACATAATATATCTTATAGATAGTAAGATGAAACGTAACAATGTATGTACTTTATCTCAATACAACAGACACATTTAAAAGGAAAAACAAAGCACGCGAATTCGTGTACTAATTAAAGGGGCAACAAAACCAAGCTTTTATGAGAAAATAAAGATTAAGATTAAATTTTAATTTGAACTCTGGGGAGAGAGATCACTCCAGAGGACTAACACATAAAACTGGGAATGATCTATTGTTCATATATACAAACAATCATCAGATAGTTCATGATTTCGCCATGATATCGATATCACCGATCAGTAGCATATTTAGCCCTTTGAAATCATTGTGCGCATCTACAATTTTTTATTGCCAAAATAAACAATTTTTTTTTTCTTTCTTCATTTTGGCATCTTTTCTTTTTCAGGATAATTCTTCACATAATACTGTCAATATAATTTTGTTATTAAGACTGAGGGAGTTTGATTTAAAGTGATTTGATCAGAAACGTAGCTTAATCATTATTTCGGTTATTTAAAACTTCAATGATTCAGTTCAATGATTTTAGCTCTTCTTACGAAGTTCAAAATCTTCAAATATATCTCCATAGAAAATGTAGGTTGGTAATCACGATCCTGGTACAATTTTGTGGAAAGTTGCTGCAATTTATGTGATACATTGCAAAAATATTCAAAACACTCATCGTAATTTTTATCCGAAGTGTTGTAACTTGTGAAGGTTTATGTTTATCGGCCTTCTATCATATTCAGGAAAAATTTCGTATGTAGACTAAGGAGAAAATACTTCTGTTTCTTTTTAAATTATTCATAAACCAAGATACAAATTTGATCCCATACGCTAGTGATTCATCATGCGAAGGAAAAATAGGAACTCATTCTATGAGTCAATGACATTTTTTTCTTGTTAAAAAAAAAAAAAGAAGAAGTTACACGTTACAAAAAATATTACGCCACGATAATTAAAAATGCCGAAGAACATAAGGCATTCTTCTAAAATTGATCCCATACGCGTATACATGTCCTTTCTGGAGGAATGGTTGATACATCTCTAAACAAGCAGTTAGATACTTCTAGAATATTTCTCTCGTCTGAATATGGCTTTGAGTGCTTTTCCCTGATGAGCTAATTAATCAAGATGAGCATAATAGTCTGCAAACCATTTCTCCATTATTTGAACCTCTTTCTTTCTTTGCTTGCTCAGCCATGGTGTGTTAACATCACTTGCAGGATATAAATCCAAGCAATGTGATCCTACAAATAAAATTTAGGCATCGGTAAACCCACTTGCTAATTAATCCTGATGAGATTAATTAAGTGAACCTCAAAATACTAACCTTTTGCTGTATAAACGGCAAGGAGACTATCTGATAAGTCCTCCAGAATCCTACAAATTGGGGGAAAAAACACAAAATAATTAGTTGATGAATAAATGCAAATATCACCAATATATATATTATCAATAGTTGTTAGAAGCTAAAAAAAAGAAAAGAAAAAGAGAAGACATTTGTAGTTGAATGAGTTACCCGGCACGACTCCAAGGATCCCGTAAGCCATTGGAGAAAATTATGTTGCTCCCAAATTTGCGCAGAACTGTTTTTATGTCCTGCATTATTATTTGGTACTTTGATTACAATTTTCTTTTTTCAGTCTGAAATTCAGTTTATCAATATCGTATACTCTTCGTACAAAATTAAGATTTAGTACATATTTTAGAATTTTACGTAGACTATTTTTCTGAGACATTGGTAATATGTATATATAAAGTGAAAGAATTTGAAACGTACTTGACCACCATAGTAAGTAGTGACCCAATGAGGTCGAGGCACGACACCATAATATTTTTTACATTGTTTGCTTCTTTCTTCCATGTCGAATGGCTTTTCTCGTGCAATAGTAATATTTTTACTTCCTCCCATTGGTATTACCATCTCGCTGCAAGTCTAAGCACAAAAACCCCCACGAGAATGAATAATAATCATAACAATTAAACAAAATGTATTCAGTTTTAATGTGGAATCTTGTTTTATCAGGTTGTCCTTTCTCTAATTTTTGTTAATATGACAACAAAATAAGTTCCAAAACGAGAATTAAAAATAGCTAATTAGCTATTAGTAATCCAAAATATGTATTTTTCAAAAAAAAAAAAAAAAAGAAAGAAAGAAAGAGAAGGAAAATAAACACGAACACTTACTTGCCAATCCCAGCTGTAAGTGACATAATCAGAGAAACCACTAATATCATGGCAAGCCCCATTTCCGCCATAGGAGGACTGGATAGCAGCCAAGATCCGACCTAAATCATCGGTACCATCGGGTGCTCCATTAATGGCATCACACACTATCTTAACTTGATATCTTGGAGGGAAGCTGTATTGCGCAGCCGAAAAATAAATGTCCCCGATGAATTCCGCTAAGTCATCCACACTCTTCAATTGCCTATTTTTACAGAGTTCCCAGTTAGTTATCCTATAATTTAATCACTAAAAGCTCATGGTAATACTATTTGTTTGTTAAAAAAAAATAATCAGTACGTACAAATTTCAAAACTTTAATATTTATTTTTTTTGGGACAGAATAAGTATATATAATTATTATTGATGATTGATATATACAATTAGCCCATAAGTAATGAAAATACAATTTAACATGTTAAACAGTTAAAGCATAAACTAGCAAAATCATGATTAATTCACTCTATAAAATTTTATGGCGGGTGAGAAATTGTAGCTGCGACTTATTATGTTCAGATACAGGGGTGTAAAAAAAAAAGCCTCGTTATATATACAGTAATATAAAAATAAAGACTTAAAGGAAAATTGAATTGGGCAATTAAATTTTTGAAAATTCTGTAAAAGTGACTAAAATTGTTTTAAAAAAAAATATTAGAGACTGATTTTGTTGTTTGAATATACATTGCGGGTCCTAGTTCAGTAAAAAAATTAATATAAAATAAAAAAACTTAACAGAGAATAGAGTTGACCGTTAAATTGATTAAAACTGCTGAATAAATGAAAAAATGGTGACTAATTTTATCAGTAAAAAATTAATAATGACCAAAAGTTGTGACCCCCATAATTTAGGGAACAAGAGTTGGTTTTGTCCGCATATATATATATATATATATATATATATATATTTATATATTCATTAATTGTTCCCACCGGTTGTTTGAAGAAACTTCTTGTTTTTTCTTTTGGTACTTAGAAAAAGATTGATTGAAACTTACGAGCAAGAATTGAATTTTTGGCTCAAGATAGCGAGACCATTGGGTTGCGAAGCTAACTTATAAATTGTATCCCACGATTTTGTTATTGTTTTGAAGCAACTTTTGCTTTGCTTCTGCAACCAAAAGAAAGAAAGAAAGAAAGAAAGTTAATATCGTTCCTTCTCATTAGAACTTGTTAAATTAGTAGTCCTTTTAGTCCAACAATTCAACTTTGCTTATTTGTGACTTTCTGATTAGGATTTGGAGGGAGTGAACATTATGGTGTAAAGTGGTAAAAAAATGTTAGAGACAACTTTCATCAATAACAAAAGTTAGTTTGTACCTTAAAATCCTTCTGGACAACAGAGTCATAAGCATCATGGGGAACGAGATCCTCAAAATAAAGAATGGGTGCTGAAATGGCTAATGCCCCCATTGCAATATGCGGATACTTTAGTCGAAACCATGCAGCCAACACTATGTAATCAAACATGAAATTAAGAAGAATAATTCACAAATTAAAGGTATTTAATACATAACTCCACACAACATTCCTTCTTGATAATATTGAAAGAATGAGATAATACCTTATAATGAAGTATAACAAAAAGAAAGAAACAAAAATAGAATCTTGAGGAATCAAAAAAAGAAGAAACTAATAATGATGCGATACATACTTCCACCGTATGATCCGCCAACGACAATAATTGGAGATTTTGGAGCGCACAATGATTCCTTTATATGTCGAAGAATTTCAGCATAATCAGCCAATGCTTGATCCGAGTTAAAATACCCTCTTACGCTCTCATTTTTCAACATTGATTCTTCCGTTAGTCCGAAGGGAATGGATTCCCCATAGAACCGATGCTGATTGAAAATAATAAGTAAAAAAGAAATCAGGAGTCCACTTTGAGTTTATATTATTTACTTAATTATCTCATAATAAAACTCTTACAATTTTCATTTTATTTTATTTTATTGAAGTAGCGGATATAATTAAAATAGGCACGTGAAAAAATTGTATCAGGTAGAACTCAACTCTTAATAGAACAATAAAATAAATAAATAAATAAAAGGATGTCGAACGCGCGCAAATTTGTAGACTAATATGCATAAAGTAAAGTAAAATCAGTACCTCAATGTAGACTAAGAGGGCCTTAAACCGAGGGGCATTATCAGAGAGAGAGCCAATATAACTAAAATCATTACCGAGAGATGATTCAGCACCAAGATATGCTAATATTGGGGAGCTTGAATTTGCACCACCCCAATACTTGGAGTTGATCACATATTTTTGAGTGAAAGTGGCGTAGCTTTGTGGCTGATAGTTGAAGTGATCCAGTGTTTGCTCATAATATTTGGTCTCAAAATCATTCCCCGAGCCCACAGACGACAAAATTTTGGCTTTCCTATTAGGGTGTAGAGGTGAAAGCCTTGTAGTTTTTTGCAGCATGGCTGAGTTTATATAACCGGGGAAGAGTAAAATTGACATTAGAAAGAGCCATTGGAACATAAATTTGAGAGGCCTCAACATGGTATCTTCAATCCAATTCGAATATGTATCTAAGCTTTATGTTAAAAAACATAGGTGTGTGTGGGTGCAGTTATTTATACTGTTGTTCTAGATTGCTTTAAGATCATTGAAGTCCATGTATTTATTATAATAAGTTGAGAGATTCTTAGATTATTACCATCCTTCTAGAATAATATGATTTATATTGTTGAGTTAAAATAATATGACAAAATGGATCATGTTTTCTAAGATAAAACAAGTACACACAAACATTATGGTATTCTTAGGACACGGTCGGCTGGAATGAATTCTTAAAATTCATTAATTTCATCGAAATGATGCACCAAACAAATAACTTTTCACACAATTGAGCTGCTCTTTTTGACTCTTACTGATTGTCGAAATCCATGAGATCACACCGCAAAAAGTCATTAGAAAATTAAGACATGTTCATTCCTGAAAATAAAAACCATTAGAAAAAAGACAACATGCCTGACAGGTCAAGAACAGCAAAATTGTTTTGAGTAGAACTAAGTTATTACTTCAAATCAATCAATTTCAGAAAGGAAACAACAGAAACTTTCTTTCCGGCCTTGCTTAGCATTTGAAATCATTTAATATTTAGCGGAAACCTGTTTGCCATCTTCGTGCCTTTATTAATGAGTTAAAAATGACGTCTAATACACTATATTCATTAGAATCCAACGTAACAACCAACGGATGCAACTTCGTCTACATGCCGGGTGAAACCAAGCTTTTATGAGAAAATAAAGACTGAACCACGTAGAACCGACGATGATGATGTATTGAAGGAGTTCGATTTAAAGTGATTTGATCAGAAATTTAGCATCGTCATTATTTGGGTTAAATGAAACTTTAACGATTGTTAATAATTTTTTTCCCACACTTCAACGATTTTAACGCTTCGTAGGCAATTCCAAATATTCAAATATGTCTCCATAGACGTGATTCTAGTGTAATGTTGAGGAAAGTTGATGCAATTTAAGCGATACACCACAAAACTAATCGATAATAAATTTGGACGTCGAATTAATTAGTTTGTTTTAATAATTCCCGGGTAAAAATCCTTTCAAATGTTAATCGAAATTTCTACCCATAATGTTGTAACTTGTGAAGGTATATATAATATATATTTATCGGCCATAGTCTAGGGGCATTAATCTGGATTTGTTCTAGACTGCCTTATCACAAGCAGTAAAAGTTCCGCACATACACTCAGGAGAAAAGGCTTCTGTTCCTTTTCTATTTCATTTATAAAACGAGATACAAATTTGATTTCATACATAAATAATTGATCATGCCAAGGAAAATAGCGATTCCTTCCACGATTAGGTTTAACAAATATGATTCTTTTTTCTTGAGGCTGGATGGGTCCGTAGGTACATAGTTTCAGTTGAAATAAAAAGGTGATAGCCATATTGAACTAAGCAGCAAGCCAATTCTTAACTTCTCCTCAGTTCGTCCTTAATTTCATCGAGTTAATTGAGATGAGCATAATAGTTTGCAAACCATTTTTCCATAATGTGAATCTCCTTCTCCCTTTGCTTGGTCAACCATGGTGGATCAATCTCGCTTGCAGGATACAAATCCAAGCAATGTGATCCTACAAAATGGAATTAATATATAAATAAAATTTTTGGTATCTAAAGTCACTTGAAACTAACCTTAAAAGTTATAAAATTCAGTGGAGCTAGAAATGCATGCTTTTAAAATTTGGAGTATGATAAATATAATTTGATCTTTAGTTTAAAATTTGCTCAACATGAGAACTAGAACGAAGAAAAGACCAAATTAATTGAAGAGTATTCTCATATTTATCCAAATTTTTTGTTTTGATCAGAGAAAATACGAACCTTCGGATGTATAAATGGCACGGAGACTACCTGACAGGTTCTCTAAAACCCTATAATTATGGAGATATAAAACAACATATGGTTAGTTAAATAAATGAAAGAGGCCATGCATCAATACGCAATAATATATATTTCATTTTTATTTATTTGGAAAAAAAATGAAAAGAACATTCGTTGGTTGAAAACTTGAAGTAGTTACCCGCCGCGACTATAAGGATCACGTAACCCATTGGAGAAAATTATGTTGCTCCCAAATTTTCGAAGAACCATTTTTATGTCCTGCATTGGGACATAGATTATTATTACAACTTTATTATACTCACATTGTTTCTAGAAAAACGTTTCCTTTGTTAAATTAAAGTAGACATGGATCAAACTCGATTTTTCTGGGAGATGAATATATAAGAAATTTTCATGCATGGCAAGTAAAGAATAAGTGCAAAACGTACATAACCGCCGTAGTAGGTGGTAACCCAATGTGGCCGGGGCACGACACCATAATATTTCTTACATTGTTCGCTTCTCTCTTCCATGTTGAAAGGCTTTTCTCGTACGATAGTGATGTTTTCACTTCCTCCAATTGGTATTACCATCTCTGTGCAAGTCTAAAATACCAAAAAAAAAAAAACAGAAGAAACTAATAATTATGATGATAATGAGTTTTAGATTTATTAATTAATTAAGTTTATCTAATTGTTTCCAAGCATATGAGTCTCAGTTTTGATACCACTTAAGTATTAAAATGTTGAATTGTAAGGATCACTGAATGTAAGAAAGTTCGTCACTCCATTTGAATATAAAAACAAATTAAAAAGACAAAATGAGAAGATAAAATTAACTCACTTGCCAATCCCAACTGTAAGTGATATAATCAGAGGAGCCGCTGATCTTGTAGCAAGTACCTCCAAAATCGCCATAATAAGCATCAAGAGCTCGCATTCCGGCCAAGATCCGCCCCAAAACATCGGTACCATCAGGTGCTCCATTAATGGCATCGCATACAATTTTCACTGGATATTTTGGAGGCTTGTTGTATTGTGCAGCAGTATAATAGTAGCTCGCGATGAATTCGGACAAATCATCTATACTCTGAATTAGCCTAATTCACAGAATGAATAAATTATACGATCCCTATAACTTGATAAAATATTTCATTAGTTACTGTATACATACATTTTTAATGATAAGAAAATGTTATTTAACAGATAAAAGCCAACGTACGACTTCAATATCGCAATATTAAATTTTGAGAGTTGGAGCTAGGGTTAGGCAAGAAATTGTAACTGAGACCTAAATTAATTAGTTAGACCGTGCAAATGAAATAGAAAATTCACAAATAAACTCGACCCCATATATGTTGTACGTAAGTTTACTTGAACAAGTATTCCAACTACTCTCGTTTTTTTTTTTTTTTTGGATTAAAAACGAGGGCTGAACTAATTTTGGTTTCGTACAAATGAAGATTTAATTATAACTTACGAGCAAGAGTTGAACTTCTGGCTGAGGATGGAGAAACCATTGGGTTCGGAAACAATTTCGTGAATTATGTCCCACGACTGTAATATTGTGTTAAAACAACTTTTGCTTTGATCCTGAAAAAAAAGACGTTCTTGTTAATTATTACTTATTAAACTCTTAAAACAAAATCTTTGTTTTAAAATGGTCCAAGAAAAAGTTGAAATGAGCAATATGGTTTTTTTTTTTAATTTTTTTTTTCCATTCTTGAAATGAACAGTAAGTACATCATCAATTAACTTTGAACCTTAAAATCCTTCTGGACAACGGAGAAGTAAGCATCATGTGGAACAAGATCCTCGAAATACAGGATGGGTGCTGATATGGCTAAAGCCCCCATTGCGATATGTGGATATTTTAGTCGGAACCAAGCAGCCAACACTATATAACCAAATATTAGCTAGGGGGGAAAAAATTAGATTGCCACAGATGTTCGTGTAACTCAACAAACTAGTACGCAACATTACTTAATTTATTATTCCGAAAGATGAGATGGTGATAACGAAAATACTTTGACCATATATCAAAAAAAGAAAATAATAATAAGGAAAACACGTACTTCCACCGTATGATCCGCCAACAACAATAATTGGAGACTTTGGAGCACACAATGTTTCCTTTATATGTCGAAGGATTTCAGCATAATCAGCCAGCGCTTGTTCGGAACTAAAATACCCTCTTACGCTTTCATTTTTCAACATTGCTTCTTCTGTTAGTCCGAATGGAATGGATTCCCCATAGAACCGATGCTGATTAAATAAAAAAATTAGAACCTTGCTAGTTGCTATACATATAGTTCAATGTTAAATGTTATGGTAATGGTAAAGGTGAAGTTTTCACAAATGCTTTTGTCACCTGTAAAGTAGCTAGCTAGTATAAGGGTACCTCAATGTAGACTAGGAGAGCCTTAAACCGAGGGGCATTATCCGAAAGAGAGCCAATGTAACTTAAGTCATCAAGAGGTGATTCTGCACCAAGATACGCCAATATTGGCGAGCTTGAATTTGCACCACCCCAATATTTAGAGTTAATTACATATTTTTGAGTGAAAGTGGCATAGCTTTGTGGCTGATAGTTGAAGTGATCCAGTGTTTGTTGGTAATATTTCGTCTCAAAATCATTGTTTGTCTCCAAAGATGAAGAAAAGAAGGTTTTCGAAGGAGTATCATGATCATGCCTGGAAAATTCAGGGCCAAATGGAGATAGTCTTGGAATGTTTTGAAGCATTACAGAATTGATGTAAGTTGGGAAGAATAGAAGAATCATCAGAAAGAGCCATTGGAAGATAAATTTGGGAGGCCTCAACATTAATTATATTACATACACTATATATCAATTTGAACTATAGTGTGAAGAAATTTTATGCTTAACGATTGATGTGTGCGCACATATATATTTATACTAGTAAAAAATTTGGGTTGCGAGAAGAACAGACCCAGAAAGTCCAAATAGACATGGACTAATTCCAGTTTCTTGATTCCTTTGAATGCATCTGATTTGTTGGGGAGTTTTAACTCTTTTCTTAGGAAGAATCTTTTTTTGAGAAAAACATTGAAACAGCCGTCGAATTCACATTTCATCCTCCTAGAATTGATACTCAAACGTTGTGTTCTTCCTAGGAGGATCGATTTGGTTAATTAAATTCGTTGATTCTCATCGAAATGATGCAACTTTGGCCTGTCTTGTGACTCCTAATGTGTGTCAATCATGTTATATATATATATATATATATATCTATCTCTGTGTGTGTGTGTATAATCATGATCAGAAAAGACATTCATATACCCTTAGTCTGAAAATGAAATTAAGAAAGTGACGCCAAATGCATGCATATAGCAGCCAAAAACATCATAATAACAATTGAGAAAGAAAAAGTGACTCTTCAAATTAATTAGTACATTATTGTGATTTTGGTTCGCCGGATCAAATGGACAGTAATTTTCGAATGATATGTACATTATTCAAAAAAAAAAAAAGGGCAAAAAATTTCCTCATTCTTTAATTTTTTCCTTCCAATTTTTAAATAACTCCCTTGAAAAAATTATCTACCTACCCGGAGAAATGATTTTATATACAACCTGAGTGCGTTCTGGTTTCGAGCAAATCTCCTTAGAACCCAGAGATCAAATTCCATATGTTGGGGGGCGGGGAATTATATGTACTTATGTAAAGAAATATAGGCGAAGTTAAAAGTTTCAAGATGGAACAGAACTATATATAATTGACCGGCCATTTCATATTTTTCAAAACCTCTCTCTCTATGTCCAATTTCTGAAAAGATTAAGCACATAAAAACGGGAATAGTAGTTTATAAAGTATAAAAAAAAAAAAGTAATTAAGCCAATATTTTGGTAACTTAAATGTCTTTTACATAAGTATTAAGTATAGTTGACTCGCCAACTCACAATAATTTGAGGCTTCTGAAATTTACATCTTCTCTTTAATTTGTTCATTTGGTGATTTCTATTCAAACTTTAGTCATTGCCCGGCGGCATGCACCTCGGGCGCCATTAGTTTAGGGTTTTTGTTTTTTTTTTTCTTTGGTTCTGTATTGGGTAAATAGAGTCATTCGTCCTTCATTTTGGCTATTGATTCCGCGTAATTCCTAATCCTAGTCGATCAGTTTTGTAGTAAACTCCAGAGTTTGATTTCAAATGATTTCTTCCATCATAATTTTATAGTTTTTTAAAGACATGGGATGAATTTGTTTGCTTGAATCTTGGACTAATTATATAGAAGGATAGCCGTCTTATATTATTCTACAAACTTGTTGAAAATATTGAGATAAGAAAATTTTCTGTTGTTTATTTCTGTGCTTGAAAGCGGATTTTTTTTTTTTTAATTTAAGTAAAAAGGACATATTCCTTGAAGGGAATTACAAAAAAATCTCCCAGTGACTTGACTTGGGTCACAATTAATCGGCATGCATTATACAGCGTATTAAAGAAAGAAGCAAGACTACAATAAACGATAACAAGAATTCCCTTGCGAATATTTTTAGTGGGATAAAAGACTTTTTGTTGTGGTCATGACTCGTGAATCTTTTATTCATCTTTTTTGCCTCCCGTAGTCCGTGGTTTTACAACTCTTGACGATTCCACCACCATCTGAAGTCATACAATGATTGGAGCATGATATGGTAAGCGTTTCCTATCCCCGAAATATTTTAATTTTTTATCATTAGATTTTGGCATCTTTCATTGTACCAAAAAAATTTTAAGTGAAAAGATAAACTAAAAACTGATACGTTATTTTTTATATCTTGAGTCCACGGGGGGGTGTTTGAGTGCAAGGAATTACTAGTACTTGATTGCTCATGAATAACAGTACTGTCAGCCAACCAAAATACAAAAGCAAATTTCCCGTCTCATAAAATGTGGAACAAATCAAATATGATGTTTTTTCTTTTTTCATAGAAAGAATGAGTATAACTCTCCATGTTCCAAAATTGTGGCACAATTCGAATTTTTATTTTCATTATATATAATTTGAACCAAAAAAGAAAATCTAAACTGAATAATCATTTCAATATGAAAGGAGTAATCAAAAAATCATAAAGGGAAGGACTTTATTTGGTTTGGATGCAAGTTGAATGAAGCAGCAATCGATCACTAAGAAAGACTCTCCTAATTTCATTCTTCTTTCACTATTTGAGATAGGCATAATAGTTTGCAAGCCATGTTTCCATAATCTCAATCTCCTTCTCTCTTTGCTCGGTCAACCATGGTGTATCAATTTCACTTGCAGGATTCAAATCCAAGCAATGTGATCCTAGAAACATTTGGTGGTTGCGATAAAGTCATTAATTACTAAATCAAGAGGATAACAAAATCACCTTTACTTAATTGATAGCCACGTTAACTTTATCTTGCAATGAATACGAACCTTCTATTGTGTAAACGGCAAGGAGACCATCTGATAAATTCTCCAGAACTCTGCAATTAATGAAAAAAAAATACAAAACAAGGTTGATTTTAATATTTCAGGAGGTAGAATAGTTGTTGATGAACTAGTAAAAGGTTGATTTATAATTTTTTTCTTTTAAAAAAAAAAGGATTAAAAACATCTTAAGTTTAACTGGTTACCCGGCACGACTCCAAGGATCACGTAAGCCATTGGAGAAAATTATGTTGCTCCCAAATTTGCGCAGAACCATTTTAATGTCCTGCATAATTATTTTGTACATTAATTAGTTACAAGTTTACACATTTCTGTTCTTTAGCAATTGGTTTATTCATAACTTTTATATCCATTCCGAAAAGAAAAAGAAATCGAAATTCTATTTATTTTACTCTTTTGAATCAACAGATATGATTTCTTGTACGCTATGAAACACGAAAATGTGAAGATAGTGAAACGTACATAACCGCCATAATAAGTGGTAACCCAATGAGGCCGAGGCACAACACCATAATGTCTCTTACATTGTTTATTTCTTTCTTTCATGTTGAAAGGCTTTTCTCGTACAATAGTAATATTGTCACTACCACCAATTGGTATTACCATCTCTGTGCAGGTCTAAATAAAGAACAGGAGAATAACATTAGTATTTATAACAATAACAATATTAAATCCAAATTACTTATATACTACTTTCTATGTCCCAAAATTATTGTCCAATTTGATTTTTTAATTTTAGTACAATTTAAACTAAAATGAAAGTCAAATCGGACAATAATTTCGGGACGGGATGACTGTATTATTAAATAATTGCCTAGTTCCTAGTTGTTCCAAAATATGAAAGCTAAACTTAGCACCAAGATAAAGTGCCTCATAGATAACAAGGAGATCAATTGTGGATGAAAATAGAGCAGCATGCCCAGAGATTTAGCCTTTAGCTGAACTAATTTAAACGAAACAAAACTTACTTGCCAATCCCAGCTTTCAGTGAGATAATCAGAGTAACCTCTGAGATCATAGCAGCCCCTATTTCCGTCAGAACCAACAAGAGATTGGATACCAGCCAAGATCCGACCCAAAACATCAGTACCATCCGGTGCTCCATCGATGGCATCACACATCAATTTAACGGGATATCTTGGAGGTTCATTGTATTGTGCCGCCGAAGAGTAAATGTTGACGATGAATTCCGACAAGTCATCAATTTTTTTCAATTTCCTAAGTTTGCATTCGTTTAGCACGAGTCTATTAGATAACATATAGACTATTATTGTGGAACGTATGAAAATCTTAAGAGTTCTTAATGAGTTTCGTATATATATAACCTTAACCAATACGTATAGTTGAGCACTTATGTGTACATTGATATTAATTTATTTTAAATCTGTAGGATGTAACAAATCGTATTTGTTCATCGATATGTATCACTTTTTATATATAGAATTTAACAAGTACTCTCCCAGCCTCATAAACATAATTCACATTAATTAATTTGTAAATTGTACTGTGTGTGTTTGGCACAATTTGTAACATGAAATATTTTAGTGAGATAGAGAGTGCAAATATTAATCATTGCACACGTACCAAATATTTGGAAAGTATCAGAAGAAAATAGATGCTACATGATATCATGGCTTAACAAAATCAAGTCAAATTGAACAAAAGGTTTATTATGACTTACGAGCAAGATTTGAACTTCCGGCTGAGGAGGGAGAGACCATTAGGTTTGGAACCTATCTTGTAAATTATATCCCATGATTCCTCAATTGTTTTAAAACAACTCTCGCTTTGTTCCTGACAAAAATTAAAGTAATATATATATATATATATATATGTATACTTGTCTTAGAGAAAAAATAGATGTTTCTACCCATGGGAGAAAATAATATTTATGATCTAATTAAATTAAGTGGTGAAAAAGGTTAAAATGAGAATGATCATATAGAAAGCGGTATATAAAAACTTTGTACCTTAAAATCCTTTTGGACAACGGAGAAGTAAGCATCATGTGGAATGAGATCCTCAAAATAAAGAATGGGTGCTGAAATGGCTAATGCCCCCATTGCAATATGCGGATACTTTAGTCGAAACCATGCAGCTAACACTAACATAAAGTAAAGGAGTATAGGAATAAGAATAAATTAATATCCTTAATTACGTAATTCAGCGATATCTTAAATTACTCTTGGAAAAGTAGAAGGCTTGATGTTAAGAAATTTGGGAACAATAGTAATGCAACACGTACTTCCACCATATGATCCGCCAACAACAATAATTGGAGACTTTGGAGCACCGAATATTTCCTTTACATGTCGAAGAATTTCAGCATAATCAGCCAATGCTTGTTCGGAGTTAAAATACCCTCTTATACTCTCATTTTTCAGCAATATTGCATCTTCCTCTAGTCCAAAGGGAATCGATTCCCCATAGAACCGATGCTGATTAAAAAAATAATAATTACGTAAAGAGAAATAATAATAATTAGAACCACTATTTTGGTATAAGGTTCCACTCTCCAATTAAGATAAACGTGCTTAAAGAAAACTTGTATCTTCCAGGTATGAAATGTGTTTGATGATATTTGAGCTTAGTTATTAATCTTTTGAATTAACGAACACATAAAACACTATTATCGTGTCATTTGATCTCAATGTTAGATGGACAAGAAAAAGTTAGTAAGGGTACCTCAATGTAGATCAAGAGGGCTTTAAAGCGAGGGGCATTATCTGAGAGAGGGCCAATGTAACTAAAATCATCACCTAGAGATGATTCTGCACCAAGATATGCCAATATTGGCGAGCTTGAATTTGCACCACCCCAATATCTAGAGTTGGTCACATATTTTTGCTTGAAAGTGGAGTAGCTTTGTGGCTGATAGTTGAAATGATCTAGTGTTTGCTCGTAAAATTTTGTCTCAAAGTCCTTCATCGAGTGCAACGATGAAGAAGAGAAGATGTTTTTAGAAGGATCACGTAGAAACTTAGGGCCAAATGGAGATAGCCGTGGAGTTTTTCGCAGCTTTGTTGCAGAAAAAATTGGGAAGAAAAGAAGCATCAGAAAGAGCCATTGAAACAGAAACTTGAGAGAAGACCTCAACATGGTTAAATGCAACACAAAATAATTAAAATACTACTTTGATAAAACTTCAGAGTTCAGATTGATCTCAACTCAAATTGAGGTGTGTATGTGCATTTATTTATAGGACTGTTACCTTTACGATCGTTTTTTTTTTTAGATTAATTATAACATGACATGTTTTTATATTCTTTTCCAGTCACGAGTAGAATAATTCCTCTTCCTTTTTCTTTTCTTTTTTTTCCTTTGACTAAAAAAAGGCGTCAACGAAAAACCTAAAATTAAAACCATATGTAAATGAGAAATTAACTCTCACCACAATATCGTGTTTCAAACACAACATAATTCCCGATATAGTGGATCGTACAACGTTCCGTTAGCCTCTTGCACATGTAGTACAAGTATTCTACTCACTGTAAAGTATTCATTTATTCATTTTAGGTACGGGAAAGTAAGAAAATGCCTGATAATAGATTAAGCTCATGAAATAGACCACGGATAAGCACCCGATATAATGTCGTTTGCAAATGTTTTAATATCATATTATAACAACCCAATATTAATATGAAACACTTTATTACTTTTATTTAACAACTAGGTACATATGTATTACTCAAAAGGGAACTTAAGAGTTGGAGCTAAACAAAGGTTGTTTTTCCTTTTGAGACTCAAACCAAGGATCTCAGACATGTCCAACAATTCAGGTTTGATCCCACCGGGGATTTCCCAGTCGAAGTGGTAGAGAAGCTGAGCAAGAGCAAGTTCAACAATGGCCATACCAAATGAAACTCCTGGGCAAAACCTTCTTCCTGCTCCAAATGGAAGATACTCGAAGTTTTGTCCAATGATAATATCAACCTCATTTTTCAAGAACCTCTCAGGTTCAAAAGTTTCGGGGTTGGTCCAAAACTCAGGATCCATGTGAATTGTCCAGACATTGACAATAATCTTTGTTCCCACCGGAACATCGTATCCCTCAATCTCGCATTTCTCCCTACACTCTCTGGAGAGTAGCAATGGACCAGGTGGGTGCACTCTGAGTGTTTCTTTTATCGCTAGTTTTAGGTATGTCAATCCTTTCAAATCCGTCTCCTCGATTCGACTCTTTCCCTTTAAGATGCTCCTCACTTCAGCCTGCGCTTTTTCAAGGACTCTTGGATTTCTCATCAGATCCGACATCACCCACATAATGACTGTGGAGACGGTTTCAGTTCCTGCCATGAAAAAATCCTGCAAAATTCCATAATTAGTTAGTCCATAAGAGTAGCGGAATGTCGTGTCACGTTTATAAAGTACTTCCTCCGTCTCAAAATTATTATCCAGTAGCGGAGGAAACATCATTCTTCTGGTGATAAGATTTTAAGTGGATTTTCTATATATCTAAAAATCAATCGGTTTTTTCACATTTCTAGGTGAGGTCTACTGGGATAGATTTAAAATTATAATATATATATATATATAAATATAAAAGAGCCATGCATGAGAATGATGAAGACGAGTTTTGCGGTTTTACATTTATAATGGCTTTGATGCTTTTGCTTGAAATTGGAAAGTCAAGTCCCCCTATTTGCTCAATCTTCAGCAAAACATCAACAATATCTTCTTCCTTAGAGGAGGAACAACGATCAAGATTGTCAACCCTGCAGGAATCTGAAGAAGTTGTTAATTTCTCCCTATGCTCCTGAATAATCTCATCCACAATTCGGTCCGCGGCCTGGAATAGTTTCTGGATCTTGAAACTTGCCCCTGTAATGACTGGAAGTATTTTGTTGGAAGGAAAAAAATCATAAACATTTAAACCGCCACTTATTTTTGTCATCATACTTGTCAACCTAACTAATTCATTCTGGTATTTGCTTCGACTTCCAATAGTTATTCTGCATGTTATTGCATTTGAGAACGCGACAACCGTTTCAGTTACATCAACAATTTTCGTGGGCGACGATTGGATGGACCTGATCATGTTCCACGCCTCGTCCTCCCGAATAGAGGCGAATTCGCGAACCTTTTTCTTGCTAAGTAGTTCCAAAACACAGATTTTACGCATCTGTCTCCAGTAATCGCCGTAGGGAGCAAACGCAACGTCTAGGCAATTGTAGGTCATGACTTCTAAGGCTAGGTTTGTTTGCCGGTCCGCACAAGCGATGTCGTGAGCCGTCAATAGCTCTTTCGCCACTCGAGCTCCTGATATTACAACCGTTGATGATTCGCCAAGTTGTAGATGCATGACTTGTCCATATTTTGCAGATAATTTTGCAAGAGCCCTATGCGGAATTGAAGCGGCCAAGGCTAAGTGATGAATGCTTCCAATAATGGGCAGTTTCCATGGTCCTGGTGGCAAATTCGGACTTGTTACATTCGTGGATTTGCCTAAATTTTTTCGTTTGAATGTTAGAGAAACCAAAAGGAGAATCAAAGTGAGCAAAATTGATGACAACACGAGCTCCATAACTGGAAAGTTTGTCTTGATTGTAAAAAAAATTTTTTTTTTTCTTTTGAAGATATGTATATGGAATGTTTTGATTTGGATGTATATAAATATCATGAATGAGTGGAGACTAAACACATAAAAACAAAAGAATTTGTAGTTTACTTTTTCCAATGGATCGATCACATAATTGGAAGAATGTAAAACTGATGTGTAGTAGTATATATATATTTTGGTGCATCTACGAGAGAACTTGATGAGAATAAACCCAACACCAATAGAAACTCTTGTTTGTAGTTCATATCTGAAATTTTTCTTCAGAATCAACGTTGCCAGCCAATTCAGCTATGCCTAGATAGGTTTCATTGGAATGTATCGGGAAATGGAACTTTCTTAATTACAATAATAAAAAGAGGACTAGACACGCACACAAAAAAATAGTAGTAATGAAATTTATTTTAAAAAAACGTACTAAGTAAAAACATAAAAACGAATGTACTTGATGTTTACTTTTGCACTCAATCGATCACACAAATGGAAGAATGTACAAAACTGATGTAGTATTATGTTTTTTTGCACAAAAATTTGGCCACAATCTAACAAACACCAACAGACACTCTTGTTCATTTGTTCATATCTGAAATTTTCCTTCACAATGGACGACGTGATAAAACACGATTTCGTTCGGCCGATTCAGCCATGCATCGACAGTTTTCATTCGATTATATCGCTTCATGTAGCTCTAAGATTTTCCTCACATATTTCGAACTGTAATTTTAGGTAATTTTTATCTGTCCTTGTTATACAAGCAGTACTTCAATTGTGGAATAGAAATTAATAGTACTTCGATTAATAATACTCAAATAAACATTACAAAAACATTGCACGAAGATAAAGTAAAAGAAGCAGTTGGGGAGAAGCGTGGTTGCTCCTCTGTTTATTGATGTTTAGATTTAATCAACTTTTTGAGGGAATTTTCAGATCAACATCGTAACGTGCAATCCACATCTTAACCTCCCTTTTCCTTTGTTTGATCAACCATTTTGGATCAGTTTCATTCGAAGGGAACATATCCAAGCAATGCTATCCTGCAACATTATGAATTAGAAGCCATAATATTAGTAGTATATAACGTGCTGTGTAATATATTTCCAACTTCATTTTTACGTACTCTCAGCGTGATCAGCCAAAGCTTGAGCAGAAAATCAAAGTAACCACTTATGGTCCTAGTACATATTTTTCAACATCTTATCTTCATCAGGTCCAACAGGAATTGACTCCATAGAATCGATGCTACAGTGATAAATGGAACAAAATGTGTATGATCAATCAAATTGGTCAAACCAAACGGCATCGAAATGTTTAATTAATATATATATATATATATATATGTATATACGTACCTCAGCATAGGACTAAACGAGCCTTAAACCGATCGGCATTATCACGGAGAGTACCAACAGTTAAAAGGTCACCTTCTTCTTGTGGTGTTCTGCTCCAAATGTATGCAAATATCGGTGAGCTTGAATTTGCACCCCCGCAATGTTTGAAATTGATGTAATAGCTTTGCTTGAATGTGGCATAAGGGTCCATAATTGAAGTGATCCAGCGTGTGTTCATAGTTTTTTGTTCTCAATATCTTTTGCGTAAGCTGATGATGATGAGGTTGATGATCATGGAAAGATGGTTTTAGACGAAAGATCATCACGTAAAATATTTGGGGCAAAGTGGAGATATGTAAGATTAATATAATGCTGAATAAGTAGAAGAATTTTGAAGCATAAAAAAGAAGTAAGACGATCGGAATAACAAGGATTTTGAAGGCCTCATCATTATGGAATGAATAGAGAAGGAGCTTGAATTTTACTCTAATTTACAATTATTATACATTGAGGCCTAAATATGTATACACTGTATGAGTCTTATGCCAATTCATGAGAACTCTTCTGTGGACAAAAACTTGAGACCAAAACACATTGTATTCATACTATTCTCAGTATTATCTTTGACCGTGGAGAAAATGTAAAATTAATTTAAGAGAATACATAAATTAGTTTTATAGAAGAAGAAAAAGAAATCTTATATCTTACTATATTAGAAACAAAAACCACACTTGAAAGAAAGCACCACCATTTGCCATGTGGCATTTCCACATCATATTTTTAAAATAAATTTTTATTTACACATTTCTAGACTTAAAAAGCAAATGCAGTCCAAATCCACCTCCACTTCTTATTTTCGCGAAAAAAAAAAAAAAACTACGGGTTCATAAAAAACCCAAATCCTCATCCTCATCCCCATGACAATCAACTCCCTAATCAATCCCTTCTCCTCAATTAAAAAAAAAAAAAGAACAAATTCCTCATGAATCATCAATTAAGAATATGTGGTGAAATATACTCCTTTCCTATTAGCATGTTCAATCTTTTCATCAGTAATGATCAACTACATCATAATCGGATAAAATTTCGACTTCAAAAAATATTCTCTTTACTTCTCTATATAAACACAAAGGGAAAAAAAAAATTCTCATTGATCTTGCTTCGGCCGTTGTGGTGGTGCCATTACAGGTATTAAAATTTAAATGATTTAATTTTCACAGATCATTTGTTTGGCTTTTATTATTTTTTGTTTTTCTCGCTCAAGAATAGTGTTATTACTATTATTTTTATGCGTCCATCCGTTACAGCTACCATAGCCGTTGTCAGGTAATAT